AAAATTCATAGTCCTTCTTGAGAAAACAGAAAAATAAGAAATACCTACAAATAAAAACCCAGAATTTATTTCTATGACGTCGCAGCTCGCAATTTGACCGTGATGCTACTAATTGTCAACATTGAAAATTTGTGATAGATTTAATTCTGAAATGTTGGAAAAATATCATGAAAAGTAGTTCAATTAATTAGTTATGGATTCAAGATTTTATAACATTTTTTTTTTTTGAAATTATGCTTAAACACAATTTAATACAATTTTTTATGTTTAGTTTTATTTATTTTTTTTACGTTGCACTACATTCAGTCACAACCGACAACAGCGCATTCGAACGTTGCTGTGCTTTTACAGAGCGCAACACAGCCGAGCCGGTCTTCTTGCAAAAACACGAGCGAAATGGAAAATATTTATGCGACGTCAGCGAATCGGCGCGTTTTAAATGATTTTGAATTTCGCTAGTTTCAAATGCCTGTAAAAGACTTATTTAACTTTGTAGATTTTTTTTTTGTATATATGCCTAAAATAGTCCCTCGTTTGGGATTTTATACTTAAATTACGTATTTAAATTTTAGTGAAGAGCCCATTATTTGGGCATGCAAATTTTCAAAAACATCCAATATTCCGTTTTCCATAAATTAGGCGTCTAACGCTGAACCAAAATGAGGTACTTTTTGAGTCACCCCGCCTCACCCCTTAAGGGGTACCAACCCTAACTTATTTTTTTTTTAAGTACGAACTTACTTTGTGCTACACATCGTTGGATAGCTCGTTGCTATGCCTTTACAGTTCTATAGCAAAATCTTAAATAGGACCATTAATTTTTGAGATATCGATGTTTTAAAAGTAAGCACATTTTGAAAACTAGTAATCCTAATTTGACAAAACAATTCTGTCATAAAAGTCTCCTATGGACGATTATGAAACGAACACCATTAAAAATGTTTTTTATCGTGTTCTTGGAAACCACACTATCAACAAAAACTTCTATAACGTCCTTTTTATACCTTTTTAAAAAACACTCTGACAAAGGCCATTAAAAAAACATTTAATAGACGTTAGCTATTGTTTGGTTAAAGACGTCCTACAAACAGTACGTAAAGTGCGACAACTGAGTGAACCTTGGTAACGTATGAAGTAGCAGAGGGGAAGACGAAAACCTATAGGTACTATACGACGCGATGGGTCCCCGACGTGGTGCATTGCGAAAATTGCGGTTACCCTGACGCGACGACCCGCGTATATGTATATTTTATCTCGCGCCAATCAGGAGCGTTTTGCCCGCATCTCTTCCACACAGGTTCATTCAGTTGTCGCACTTTAGTTTCTAAAATGTTTTTTTTTTCAGAAATGTTTTTCGGAAGTTTTTTTATTTCGTTTCTGAAATGTTTCATTATTTTTATTAGTGCTTGGACGTTACGACAAAAAACATCATCCATCCTACCTTTTGTACTAGAAGGATATGATGCAGCAGTTCCCTGATTAATAATGAAAGCGTACTGGCAACAAACCTCCTCAGTACAACTGAAATCTAATTGACAGAGGCTATCACAAAATCCCTACTGAGATCAAAGAAGACTACTCAGTCGCTTTTAGAACATACCTCTCCGATCATCTCTTCACAGTCGGGGAAATACAGGGAAAAATTCTGGATCTCGATGCCTCAAAGAGTCCAGGACCGGATGGTTTCTCCCCATCAGTGTTTTCTAATGGCTGTTGCTTATCTGTAATAGAACCTCTGAAGCATATTTTCCAACTTTTTTTCGATAGATATACTGGCATTTTTCCCAGAAGTTGGAAAATCTCACCACTAAACTTCGTTGACTAGTCCGAAATAACTACGCCGAGGGCAAATACCCCTACCGGCGTTGAACTACACTGATTGGTCTGAGCTTTCGTTGGCAATGAAGCTTCAGCCTATGTCCTTCTGATGAGTCCTAACAAGGACGAAACGCGTCAAGGACTGGCACGGGAAGGCGGGGTCCACTACTCAGTGGGTCGATTCCCAAACAGGGACTCTTATATGTCCCTGATTTCACGTTGGTCATTACCTGAAAAAACTATCTAACAATCTCACCACTTTTCCCTATTCACAAATCAGGAGATAGCACTGATGTGAATAATTATGAAGAGATATCTCTAATATCGCACATTCCTAAAATTATGGAATCCATTCTAACAAACGATGTGTATTCATGCTTTAGTAAGTACATTGCACGGTTTCTGCAAGGGAAAATCCACTGCTATAAATCTTGCTGTCTACCAACAGTTCCTAACAAAAGCTTTGGAATCAGGAAAAAAGGTGAACGGTGATCTTCACGGACATTTCAAAGGCCCTTCATAGTGTATGCCATAAGTTGTTACCAAAAAACTCTCAGCAATGGGCTTTCCTTGCACGTTTCTTAGAAGGTATAGAATCGCAGATAGATACTTAACGAAGAGATGTCAAAGACTTGGTGTGTGCGATGCAGTATCCGGGGTCCCTCAGGGATCGCACATCAGACCGATTCTGTTTGTTTTTTTCATAAATGACATCATCCAATAATGCTTCCAATTATTCCTCGGCTTACTAAACCCTGACGACTTGAAGTTTTTGGACGGGCACTCTACCTCGCTCCATCCGGATTTGGACAGGTTGGTCGCTTGGTGCAACTCAAATCTTCTCAAGCTCAATGTTACTAAGTGCAAACACACGATTTTTCACAAGACCATGAATCCTATACTGCCCACAAACACCATCAACAAAGCTAATCTGGAAACAGTCGACACCTTTAGAGATCTAGGAGTCACCTTTGAAAAAGACCTGTACTCCAATAAACAAATCGACAATATAGTCATAAAAAGTTGTAGGCTTCTGGGTTTCATCAAACGAAACACCAGAGACATATAATACATCTATACTATAGTCTCATTCGATGCACACTCAAATACTGCAGCTTAATTTGGACAACAAGTTATGTATGCCATCTTGAAAATGAAATTCATCTACAGCTCTTGACTTCATTATCTCTAATAACCTAGACATTCAGAATCGGGACCTAAACCTACTGTTCTAACAAAAAATAGACAAGAACGTATTGATGTAACTCTGGCGTCTCTCGGAATATGCTCTAAAATAAGTAACTGGAGCCACTGGAGGGTAGATGATGAACCGAGTCTCTCGGATCATAGGTATATTCAAATGGAAATCAAAAATATTGATGAACCAGAGCGTGTATATCGCAACCCTGGGAGAAATACCGACAGGGCCTAAGACTAAACCTGACTAACGGTAATTAAAACAAGAACAGATATAGAAGAGGTATGCCTGCAATTGCAGGAAGCCATCCAAACCTGAAAACTGCGCAGAATCAAGGCAAACCACCCGGAAACAAAAGTGGTGTAATGCAAACCTCGAAATGCTCAGGAAAAATAAACAAAAGTTTTTCAATAAAGCAAAGAAAACCGGAAACTGGGAAGGATATCAGCAAACCCTAGCGGAATACGAAAAAGAAATCCGGAAAGCAAAAATAGAATCCTGAAAAAAGAAATTCTGCAGCGAAGTGGAAAACACTTTCGAAAGAGCCCGTTTCCAGAAAATTCTAGCCAAGAGTCCGATAGAACCGAAGGGAACCATTGAAAAGCCTGACGGGAACTTCATAAAAAATGGGGAAAAAACTTTAGGTTTACTTCTTCAAACCTATATTTTCCAGACTCCACCGAAGTGTCCCCTGATAGCAGAAACCCATCAAGCCGTTCCGTAGTGGAGCGAAAAAGGAGGACTGGGAACTTGCTAAAAACTTACGATCGTATAAAATGGGCCATAGACTCATTTGACAGCTTCAAATCACCGGGACCTTGAACCAGATGAAATAATACCAGCACTCCTACAAGAGGCGGTGGACCTTGTAGCACCACACCTCTGCAGGCTATCGGTAAGAACAAAAATAAACCAATGGGTGTAAAGACACAACAAAACTTACTGGCAAACTCTTCCGAAGCTCAGACACAGTAAGCTAATGGTACAACAATCATCAACTAAACTTACTGAAGAGATCCTACAACTAAATCGGGATCAAAGCAGGCTAATAACTGGTCTTATAACTGGACACTGTAGCCTGAGAAAACACCTTCACACAATGGGCATCCTCCAAGAAGAACCCATATGCAGACTTTGTGACGAGGAGGATGAAACCGCTACCCACATAATCTTCAAATGTGAGGCTTTACGCTGGTGGAGATACAGACAGATAGGGTCAGAAGACCCTATCTCTAAACTCACCAAACGTAACACGGTGAAGAGGCTCCTAAACCTAATGAAGGTCATGAAACTTTTCACTGACTAAACAGACGGACAGGACAATACAATGAGCCGTCGGTTCTAGTGTTGGGGCCACCTGGAGCCTGTTCACTCTGCATCTCAACCAACCAACCAACCTAGATAGCATGCCTACTTACTTTTAACCATGTCTTTGGCAGCGTAGAAAGAATCTTTCAGTCACGGTATATCCGCCATAGAGAGCAAGCGATGCGACAGTTTCGTTATCTTGCTGGGTAGTATGCCGGAATTTCCTACTTTCGGCGTATTTATTTTGATTTCTATAAAAAGGGTCCTGTATATCGACATAAAAGAATTTAAGGAGAACATGGACTGATTAAGAATTTTAACGCTTTGACGGTTGATGATCATAGCTTTAATAAAGATTTACAAAATTCTTCTTCAAAAGTAATAGTTTCAGTTCAAAACTTCATGTAGGATAAAAATCTGGAATAGGTTTTAATGCATATTTTCTGATCTTTCCTTCAAAAAACTATCAACAATTACTATATCAGACACATTTTTGAAATTCTTACACTTTCTGTCTACAGTGTATGGACACAGCTTGTAAATTCAACTAGACCGCATCTGGAATCTGATGAATACACCAAACAAATTAATTTTTTTTCATAATATCATCTGTAGTATTCCAGAACAATATATCAGATCTGATAGGATTTTAAGAGCTAGAAAAAAGTAGTCAAAATTGAGTTACTTCAAAAAAACTTTTTATTTTTATTAAAACAGAAATTTATAATTAATATCACATTCTATGGTACTTAGCGATAAGCAGAATAAAAACCGGAACAATAAATTTTGAAACAATAGATGAATGTCTAAGTACTTGCTTTCAAGGTTCAACAAACTATTTTTCTCTATTAAACTTCATTTGAGCTTTTCCCTATTTTTTTTTTTTTTTGTTTTGTCACAACAAACTCACTACATTTCCTACTTCATGAAGCATAATTCTCTATTTAATCCCTCATTCAAATGAAACTTCTATAAAGTCCATTTTTGAGAACAATAATTATTGAAACACAAAATGCAGATTATTACTCAATGGTCTAAAGTTTTGAAAAAGTGTTTTTTTTTAAACAGAAATCCCTAATTGGATTTTATGAGGATTTTGTATACATTGAGTAGGTACCTATATTTTGTATAGATACTGTTAATTATTTCAAGCTATTGTTACAATACTGCTTATTATAATATTATATGGTAGGTATAATAATATTTGTATAAAAACAATAAAATGAGAAGGTTAGACAAATGAAATTATTGTCTAATCGCCACAAATCTATTTATAAATAACACTATGCTCACTTTGGTATAAGCAATTGACCTAAATACCTTGTAATGAAATTGTAGTTATTTTAATTAATATTTATTATTACATTGGAAGTTCCATTTTAAAAGAATAACAATGAAATGGAATATACGGAATAGAATAATAAGTAAACAATAAATTATTATCACATAAAATGTGAGATTCAAAAGCTGAATAGTCAATCAACCACCACTCCCAGTTTGATCATATTATAATAAAATTACTGATTCTTCAAATGTATTTTATCGAAAAAAAAAAACATTCATGAGTAATTGGAAGGTTACAATTTCCAGCGCTAAGCAATTTGTTTCTTCCTAGATTGTTTTTTCAACATTTGACAGGTGACATGGGTCTAAAATGCTTTTTGCAAACACCATGTATATCCACTTTGCAATAATTCTGAATATTTATATTTTATATTTTTCTTTCATGTAGCTGAAAATTTTGATGGTTCCTGTTTGTTACAAGAGTTCTAGGGAACAGTGACAATATTTAATCAGATGGCCAGACATGTGAAAACTTGTTAAAGATAATGATGGTGAATACTACAGGGTTCTGGCGAAAAGCGTCTACAACTTTTGACTGTATTGATTTTCAGGTACCTATGCCTACTGGAAATAATTGACAATGTTGTAAAACATTTCCTTTGTTGCATCCACTATAAACTACAATGATCTACTCTAAAACACGCCTATCAAACAAAAAATATATAATCCATTAGGCCTTAAGTGCTCAAGTAATAAAAGCTTACAGCATCAAAAGTGGTTTATTCCAAATCTAAGGTGTTTGCTAGATCCATTAAATTATAAATTGCAATATTTCCAAAATACTGTAATGTGAATCTAAAAAACACGTACGCACTCTACTAACTTACAGTGCGATCAATCTACATTTGCTATTTATCCATTTTTCTTGCAATTTTCTATGCTCTTCCAAATCCTTAGGAGAAACTAGCCTGACCTGGCCGCCAAGTTTCCTTGGATCCAAATTCGCACCAAAAGTCTGCACTCCTTTAGCCAGTTTGCTAAGAGGCGAAAATAGTTCTTTAGCAGTAGAAACAGGGCTGGCAACTTGAGTTAATCTTTGTTTTAACCCTGAATCACTTTGGCTCTGGCTCATAGTAGTTTCAAAATCGGCAACGTTTTTGTATTCGATTATCATATTAGGGTCGTCGATTTCGCCAGATGAATGGCTATGCTTTTGGTCTAGCTTAAGGCTTTTTGGGGGTTCAGCTTTTGGATCAGACGACGACATATGTTCAGAATTCAACTGGATTTCCGGCATGGCACCCATTGAAACGTTTTGCATTATACTTGACAGCTGCATTGTATCAAGTTGAGAGGAATCAACTCTACTGAGCAAATTTTGCTTTTGTTCCAGAGTTGGTTCATTTTCCATGGTATCGTTTTGGTTGTTTGTCTGGCCCATGACTATTCCTACACTGGGCAAGAAGACGTCATCGGTACCAACTATAGGAGATTCTGTACATTCTAGTCCTAGAAAAAAAAAATGAAAATTATTCAAATGGCCTTATTCGAAAATCAAACAATTGAAATATTTTTAATTTTGCAGGAGTTCAGGTGAAAATGGGCTGATTGCCATGTTTTAATGGGGTAGGTATATCGGAAACCAGCAGAGATATTGGAAATCTGGGACAACATTAGGGTTGCCACCTCTCCGGGTTTTCACATATGGTCTCCGGGCTCCGGATTACTAGGTGTTTTCTCCGGGTAAAACCGCATTTAACAAAAAAAACGTAAAAATAATTCTTATATCCAGGGAAAAAAATAAGATTTAGCAACAGCGCAATACTGTTCCTGCTCTCCCTCAAGGATATTACACACTACTATAGGATTGCTCATCGGCCTCGATTTTTAGCATCAAGGTCATATGGTGTTGCACCGTTGCCGACGTCATCAACGGTGTCGTTAATTGTTTGCGCCAGCGGTCTTAGTTTAAAATATACATTTATGATGAAAAATATTATTTAATTTTGAATAACATAATAAGCAAAGCGGATGATGCAAACGAGATCTAAAAAGGGTTGTTTTAGAATGTTGCTTGTGGCCGTTTGCACCGACCATTTTGAGGGAGCTTTAACGATAGTCAACGCTTAAAGTGACATGTAAAAATGTCACTTTAAGCGTTTATTATCGTTAAACCTCCCTTAAAATGGTCGGTGCAAACGGCCATTGGTGCGACTAGATCAATCGTTAGTTAAGTCCTTGTTAGTTAACAAAAACCTCATATTGTGTCATTGTCAATATGAGATTGCTTTTGTATGGCACAATCTGAGGTTGTTGTTTGCTAACAAGGACTTGACTAACGATTGATCTCGTCGCCATTAATGTACTAATACTAAAACCAAGTAAGTACAAAGCAAAAGTCAGCGGAATCATAGCCTCTGGTGCAAACACCCTACGTCAAGGCAAGGAACGACACACTGCCTACGTCATCACTAGCGCTTTGACGTGCTGGGGGGCTTGGGATTTGATCTACAGAGGCTATATGCGGATAGGCTATCCTATGGCTGTCATATCCTGTGTAGTGTGTAATAATCCTGGAATCTCCCTCTCCAACCGTCTCAACTCCCAACCCTGAAGCATCATCCGGTGATGCCAGGGGAGACTTGTATATAGATAGAGTGTACTTAATGCATCTGTTATCAGATTTGTAGGATTTTTTTTTTCAGCTTTTTTTTTCAATAAGGTTTTTTTTTCTCCGGTTCAACTTACTTTCCAAGGTGGCATCCCTAGACAACATTTCTTTCAAGAAGTTCAGAAGTTCGGAAGTTCATTATGTTCCTAGGACCATAATAGTATATTACATACCTACGTAGAGAAGTTGGTCATTGGCCGAGCGCGAAGCGCCGAGGTTTATAATGCGTAAGGTATATAATGACTTTCTCTACCGAGGAATAGAGAGTTATTGGACGTGCAATAAGGACAAGCAGTATTTAAATTAGCCTTATTTTGACATATACGCATGCGCATTTGGGTTCGGAAATAAGGTTTCCCTTAATAAGGTTACTGCTTGTCTTTATTTGTGTATGGTTAGTGCAAGGCAGTAAACTTCCCTTATTTCAAATTTCTGACATTTTGGACGACTTTGACGTTTCGCTTTTTGACGATGACGTAATTTTACTTAGAAAATTTATTTTTTACAATAGTTTTCCATTTTACTGTGGGTAACATCCAAAAATGGGTATCAGCAGAAAATCACAAACAAAAATAAACACTTTTTGAGGCTGAAATTTATAAACATAGCTATCAGCTGTCAAAATTATGAATACAAAATAAGGTAATACCCTAGTACCTACTACAGTCTTCCAATACCTGTTTTTTTCTTGGAAAGATAGTGCTGATGCGCTAATAAAATAACGTAGATCTTTAATACTGCGAGGCAGTATTTAATAGTTCCAATAACTCTCTATTATATACGATAGGACGAGCAGTATTTAAATTAGCTTTATTTTGACATCTACGCATGCGCATTTGGGTCTGAAAATAAGGATTCCCTTAATAAGGTTACTGCTTGTCTTTATTTGTGTATGGTTAGTGCAAGCAGTAAATTTCCCTTATTTCAATATTTCTGACATTTTTGACGACTTTGACGTTTCACTTTTCGACCATGACGTAATTTTACTTAGAGAATGTTTTTTACAATGGTTTTTCATTTTACTGTAGGTAACATCAAAAAATGGATATCAGCAGAAAATCTCAAACAAAAATAAACACTTTTTGAGAATAAAATTTATAAACATAGCTATCAGCTGTCAAAATTATGAATACAAAATAAGGTAATACTCTAACACCTACTACAGTCTTCCAATAACCAATAACTGTTATTTTCCTGGAGAAATAGTGCTGATGCACTAATGAAATAACGTAGATCCTTAATACTGCGAGGCAGTATTTAATAGTTTCAATAACTCTCTAATATAGACCAAATTATTGCACGAATAAAGTACGAGCTTAAAAAAATACGGATTACCAAGTTGATGCGTATGCACACAAGTTTCTATATTCGGAGCAGTAAAATGTGTCGGAGTTCTAAATAAGGAAGTTATCGGCCCAATTACTCTGATTGATGGGCTGATGGGTTGATTGATTCATTAGCTGATCAAAGATATTTCAATTTTCTCGAAAATGGCATTGGCAACCTTATGGAAGAACTACCCGCAATGGCATATCGAAATATTATTTGGCTGCAGAAGCTTTACCTCATGCAGTTCGCAATGTTGTGGAGTTTTTAAACAACCGATACGAGTGCATTGGTCGTAATGAGACTGTGGCTACCACATAGTCCATTACGGTAATGGACACTTTCTTATGCGGTCATCTTGAAAATGTTGTTTACTGTGCGTCAAAAAAGCCGATATATTCAAGAAGAAATTAAAACTAAAATTCAAAACGAAACAAATAGAGAAAATCATAATTTTACAGCAAGTCTAGAAAGATGGAAAAGGATCATTCATGAGCTTTGTTCGCGGATCATATTCTGAACCGATTCCGAACCCCTCCGGAACTAATCGAGGATTGTCATAGAGCGCATATGCCCAGGTTATGAATCGCTTCAGGATTTTATTTTCAAATTTTATTTTAGTGTATTTTATCTTAGCTTTGGCGGCAAAAAGAGAGTTAGTTCTTTTTTTTTGTGAATGAAATATTCGTGAACCATATTGCGCATGTATCGAACTTGAAGTGCTTGGTAAATTCCTTGGGACCGGTAGAACTAGTTCAGAATCGGTTCGGAACCGTTGACCCGCGAACGCAGATTTGTATCTAAAAATTCGGAATTTTGTGATCCGAGAACGCCATTATCTGAAGTGCGCATGCGAAATAGTTCGAAACGTTTAGAATCCTCAAGGATGATACACACTACTACTACAGAATAGCATAGCCAATCCTCATGAGGCCTGTGTGGAACAAATCCCCCCCTTCCCCCGCCACCCCACACCAAATCACCAGTTGTGACGTAGGCAGCATGTTATTTCTCGCCTTGACGTAGGCTGTTTAAACAACTTAGTTATGACGTCGGAAATGGTGACACACCAATATGGCGGCGATTACCAAAAACGAGGCCGATAAGCAATCCTGTAGGTGTGTATCATCCTTGCAGAATCCTCACTGCGAACGAAGCTATTGTTGAAAAAAAAATACTAGATTTTGACAGGTAATTGTAACTTTTGAAGATTTTTCTGTTTATATTTCCTTGACTTTTCGAGGAGACAGAATAGGTCTGTTCGCACAGAAATCACAAACCAGTCACAGTGAATTTGTATAACTAATAATAATAACAACTTTTTTCGATATTTTGCCATCTCACCCTACTTTTCGCGTTTCCATATCTAAATATTCGAATTTGCCGCCACAACAGTGATCACGTGATCGATGTCAAAATGTACATTTGGGTTATCAGGCATGCAGGATCGATAGCACGCAAGGAAAAATTCCATTTTTTATGTAGCGAAAACTATGGGGGACACTGTATACAGGGTGTCCCCAAGTAAAAGTAACTACATGGGGATTTCGGAAATGGTAAGAGATACAATTTTGGTTAAACGACAAAAAAGTTCCGCTATTCCGAGCCCAATCAGAAGCTGTATCGAAATTGAAAATATCTACAGTTACAAAGCCATGACAACAAACACAATTACGGCATTTGTTTCGCAACCAACTTAGTGAAATACTGTTTTTTTTTTTTTAATGAATTTATATTTTCTGTCATTTAAAGATAGGCCTGTTATACATGGTTGAAAAGCTCTTTTATGCGTCATTTAATGACGTAAAAAAGCAATACGGCGGCTATAAGAAATAACAAAGTTCTCTATGGTTGCAAAAAAACTAGAAGGCCTGGAAAAAATTTGTTAAAGTCATTCGATTGCCCTTAGTCGCTAATACAAACTTACCCAATTTAAATTAATTTGTTCACAAGATGGCGATGATATTTCAATTTTTGTGGGACACCGTGTATAGATATACAATCCTTTACTAAGAAAACAATTTTTTTTCACCAACACCTAAGTGACTTGACACCTGTATGTGCACGTGAATTCCAATACAATACGTTTTTTTCAATTTTTTATGATGGATCTCCATTTAAATATTATGCATATTTAAAATTAGCAAGACAAGAGGTGAGGAAGAATATGGTGGCGGGACCTCTATGTCACCACACACTACTACTACAGGATAGCCTATCCTCATAAGGCCTGTCTAGAACAAATTTGAAGCCCCCCACCACGCCAAATCACCAGTTGTGACGTAGGCAGCATGTCCTTTCTCGCCTTGAGGTAGGCTGTTTGCACTACAGGTTATGATTCCGCGGGCATTTGCCTTATAAATACTTGGTTTTACTACATTAATTAACATTCTAAAACAATTCTTATTTAGCTCTCGTTTTCATCTTTCTATTTGCCTATTATTCATCATGAATTTAAATTCTAAACTACAAACGGTAGTGCAAGCAGCTAACGACTTAATTATGACGTCGGAAAAGGTGACACACCAATATGACGGCGATTACCAAAACCGAGGCCGATAAGCAATCCTTAGGCCCAGTTCCACAATTGGTGGTAACTTGCACTGGTTATCAAACTCATAGTTGCGGGTTAACTACATTGAATATTCTGAAGTTTGATCAATGATTTTGGCTAAACCACACATTATGAAACAGATATATTGTAGGTTGACGTTGGGTTACCACTGTTTCTGAAACTGGCTCTTAGTAGTGTGTATTACCCTTGTATCAGGGATGTGCCGTAGACTATGAAATCTACTTTACGCGGTTTGTCTCCTCGTTGTCTACGTATTGTTTACATCTACTTTTTTCCATGTAGACTATGTAAACTATGTAGACAATGTAGACTATAGTGTAGACAACAGAAAATTTGAAATTTGAGTAATTTTTTTGAAAGTTTGCATTGCATTAATTTTATATTGTATCAAATTAGACATTATCTGCAGTTTAATTAACTTTACAAAGCAAAAAACAAAACAAAGCAAAAACAGAAACATAACCTTAAAGGCCTGCCAACTGTCAAAAATCGTATACTTTACGCGTTGTCTACATAGTTTACACGTTGTCTACATAGATTACATAGTTTACATTGTCTACGCGTTGTTTACACCAGACGTAGACAATCTTTGTTTACGCGTAGATGCCCATCTCTGCCTTGTACGTTTCCACTGTATGTAAAGGTTTATTCAGTCACTGTAATTTTTGCTACAGTGACTCTATTAACCACAGTGGCGACAATTGCTGTCTTATCCTATATATTCATATGGAAAACGCCGCCATTTTGTGCCCTACCTCTTGCTAATATGAATATATAGGATTTAAATGAACATCCATCACAAGAAATTGAAAACAACGTATTTGATGTACCTGATAATAGTCATTAAATACGTTGTTTTTGAAGATAGATGTCCATTCAAACGCCATATATTCATATTTAAAATTAGCAAGAGGTAGGCCCCAAAATGGCGGCGGGACCTCTATTGTCGCCACTGTTTGTAAAGGTTTATTTAGTCATTGTAATTTTTGCCCACTGTAATTTTCGCTACAGTGGTTAAATAAACTATTACATATGCAGTGGCGACAATAGAGGTCCCGCCGCCATTTTGAGGCCTACCTCTTGCGACTTTTAAATATAAATATATTATAGGATTTAAATGGACATCCATTACAAAAAATTGAAATAACGTATCCGATGACTATAATTAGGCTCATCAAATCAAAAAAGAGGTTGGGCACAAAATGGCGGCGTTTTTCATATAAATATATGGGATTTTGAAGAACCAATCAAAAATGAGACGACAGTTGTTGCCACTGTCGTAATAGAGTCACTGTAATTTTCGACATAAAATAGCGCCATCTATTGGTACCGGAATTTCGCGAGTAGGTATAAAAAAATTATGAAAATATTTGAATTTTTTGATATATAACGGTCAAAAATATCAAAACACCACTGATGGCGAAAAGTGCCGATTACCGTTCTTTCGCGAAAACTGTTTACAACAGAACACCGGCACAAAGTGAGGTTGTGAACCGATATCACTATCTCATCCAGTAGCAGTGGAGTTATTGTTTGTTTGTGTTGTTCAGATCAACTTCTTGCTTGCTTGTGTGATAAGACTGATAAGTTTCGTTGAACAAACAAGTTCTCATCAGTGGATTGCTGAGGACGCTAAAGTTGGTAGTCACCAAAATCCCTAAAAAACTACAGATGAATAGCAAAATTCTCACCATGGAAGACTATAAGTTTTTAATCCGGATATATCTTGAAAAAACATTCCAAAATCGCCCCAACATCGTCGAGGAGACTTTCAAGCTGATCTATGACTACAATGACAAGAAAACCAGACGAAAACCATCTTACGAAGATACCATAAGAAATCTTCTTGCGTTAGTGGGCCAAGAAATTCCGGAGAGCATTTCGAGTTATTTGCTAGTTCAGGTTAACATGCCTTCGGATATTACGGAGGCTGGTGACAACAAACTTATCAAACAAATGGAATTGTTGAACCGCATGCCTGACAGCTTATGGATTGAAACTATTAAGCCGGATCTTATAAAAGCAGGAGTCCTAATCGAGGAGAAAAGTGGCGGGCCAAGTACCTGCGCTGGTACTAGCAGTCAGCAACATGATAATGTTAAAGCTGAAAAAGACAAAGTGGTATTTTTGGAAACTGTTGAGGAATGTGGTCCAGGTACCTCAGCTGGAACTAGCAGGCAACGGAAAAAAGTAAAAATTGGAAAAGACAGTGATCCTGAAGTGTTACTTTCGAAAACTAAACCCAAGCCTAAACCATTTAGATGTCGCAAGAGGTTGAATGCGATCGACACCAGGGAAGAATGCACGGAAACTTTACAGGATGCAACTGTGTGTTCGGTAAGCAGTCAGCAACATGATAATGTTACAGCTGAAAAAGACAAAGTGGTATTTTTGGAAACTGTTGAGGAATGTCGTCCAGGTACCTCAGCTGGAACTAGCAGACAACGAAAAGAAGTAAAAATTGGAAAAGACAGTGATCCTGAAGTGTTAATTTCGAAAACTAAACCCAAGCCTAAACCATTTAGATGTCGCAAGAGGTTGAATGCGATCGACGCCAGGGAAGAATGCACGGAAACTTCACAGGATGCATCCGAGTGTTCGCTAACCGGAGACACTCAACAAGGTACCTCAGCTGGTACTAGCAGTCAACCAAATGATAAAGACGAGTTTGTATTTCTGAAGCCTAAACTAATCACATGTCGCAAGAGGGCAAATCCGTCTGGAGTTTGCATCAACACTTTAGAAAATCTAACTACTCAATGGATCGTTGACAACCATTAAACTGTACAATGTTTTTACCAGGATAAATTTGACAAAGCCTGGAATATGGTTTACTCAAATAAATATAGTGGAGAGGCTTTGCAACAATGCTACAGGACTTTGTAGGACTTGAACAGGAAACGAAAGTTATTGAGAGAAATTGCAAATAAGAATATTACAAAAGAAACGATTACCAATTTCTATCCGCAGGCAGATATTTCTCTCAAGATACATTTTTAGTATAATATGTGTACCTATGTATGTAGGTATAACTTAATTTTATTTATCATTGTATTTGCTAATTTTGATGTTGATAATCTATCCATGTTCCTATAACAATTTATTTGATTTCTATTAAACAAGTAAAAAACTACTATCGTAGATTCAATGCTAGACCTATATCCGAGCCTATACCTTTTAGAAAAATTTACTTTGTGTCTTTGACAGCAATCATAGAATCAATGAAAAACAACTGCAGCAATTTGGAAGCTTGGTTAATTTCAGCTTTTCTGATATGCAATCTAACAAAAACTTAAATTAATGTGTCCCAACGATTTTTCATAAATACCACTGTTTTCCAATATACAGTGCGGGCGTAAAGTAAGGAATAAATTCAGGCTGTAGAACCTAAACGGTTAATTTTAGAGGAATACCGATTTTACATCCCTGTCTTAGATTAGATCATAAACTATCATTTGACACCAACTTTGAATTTATCCAGATATTAAATTTAACTGAAAATTTTAATCATAGATTAAATTCAAAGTTGGTATCAAATGATAGTGTATAAAAAACTAAGACAGGAATGTGAAATCGGTTTTCCTCTAAAATTAACCGTTTAGGTTTTACAGCCTGTCAAAGTCGCAAAAAGTCAATTTTCAACTGTCAATATTCCCGAAACAGTTGAAGATAGGTATAGGAGATGTTTCATGAAAAACACTTAGAATTTTATCAGAAATCCGAAAATGTAAAAAAAATTAGGGGCGTCCATTTGTAAAAATTAAGTTAGTATACCTGTCCAGCTTTTCTGCGACCACCCTGTATAATAATTTTATTTTCTAAAAAATGCTCGACAAAAAATAAAATTGACGTATTCGAGGATTTTTAAAAAAATTGCTTGGAAGAATAATTATTGAATTTATTCCTTACTTTACGGCCGCACTGTATAAGTAATTAGCTTATTTCAGACACCATAGATCACCATATTATATTCTTTTTTGTAATATTTTATTTGAAACATACGTATTTTAAAAATTATTCAAGTTGCCTAATTCAAAAATTAAACATTTGAAATATTTTTAATTTTTTCAATATCTTCGCCAGGAGTTCAGGTGATTACTAGATATTTACATTGTTTAATAAAGGAAAACATGGAACATGTACAGGAAAAATTTTAACTAACCTTGTTCTACATTGAGGCTGGAAGCCGAAGCATAATTGACTGATCCACTATCTTCCGAAGGATTTGGTTGAAAAATGGAATTTTCATATTCCTCCTCGGAATCACTTGAACTATCGGTTTTTTTCTGGCCTATAGTAAAGCTAGGTTTACTTCTGAGTTTGGATTTTAGAGACATTTTATTGAGTTTGGAAAACTGCTGTTGCATATTTGAAAATGCTTTTGAACCTATAAAAAAAAAACTAATAAAATTGAACTAAGAGATATATTTGAAAAAAAACTTACCTGCGCTTTTGATAGCAGATAACTGAGTCTCGGAAACATTTCTAGAAATTTGAGGTATATTTACTAAATCTAAATAAATATTGCTTGTAGTTCTATCTTGTATAATTTTAGATTTTCTTCTGTCTAAAGCTTGACCCATATTGAGGCGGACCGTTGGAAGATCTGCTATTTCAATTGCTACAGAAAATGCTTCACAAATGGTCTTTAATGACTCTAAAAGAAAATAGGTAATTTTGCGGAAATCGCTGTACCTACTTTAAACTCACCTATTTCTTCCTCTACACTTTTTATAACAATGGCTATGTTATTAAAAAATCTCAAATGAGTAGATCGAAACATATGGTAGTATCCACTTACTCCATTAACTTTATAGTTTATTCTTATACAATATTTATTTTTAGTGGTTTTAAAAAGTGAGCTGGCAGACTGAGGCATGCCAAATTCTAGTAAATATATATCTTTTAGTGGAACATTTTGATATTCTGTAACTTTATCTACCTGAAATACAATCATCAGGGAAAAGTTCGAATAGTTAATTCCATTACTTACTTGATCATCATAATCCGCGACAAAATATGAATCCCTAGTAAGAATCAATATAGAATCCATCTCAGTTTCACTGGGATCCCCAGTATTAGGGTCAGCATTTATTAAACCCCAAGCCCCAACAACTAACTCTGGTTGATTAATCAACATTTTTTTACAATCTTCTATTAAAAGTTTCACATGTTCTGCCGTAGCCAAGTTATCTTCTTCAAAGTTTGATTTTGCTTCGTTGAATAGGTCTTCCGGTACATAGTTTCCTATCAAAAATAAAATTCACCAAGAGTGTAAATAAAATTTTAAATAATATTTACCAAGCATAATGTCAATAGTTCCTTGACGAGCTGAGTCTTTGAAACGACTTAAATAATACCTAGAAAAAAATTTCTTTTGAAATACTAAGAATGTTGACCAAAACATGCTGACTACTCTGTTAAAAGTATCAAAGTGACTAAAATCAGTCGCTGTAATTTTTGCCAGATGCCATAATCTTTTTTTGTTTCTATAGAACAATTCAGCGACCTTCTTGCAATCCAATTTCTCTGTTTATTAGTTTGCAGGAGGAAAATCTACATACTGATTTTTCTGCCTAGCAAACTTCTTCAAATTTTGAATATTTATGCGACCTATAGCACTGACAATATAATTTTAAATTTTGTGAAGTGAATTTGCCGCAAAATATGAACACAAACAACTACATTTAATAATATCATAACTGCCACGTTTGTCACATTTAAGCCAAAACTATAGGGCATCTAGAAGTTATCCCGAATTTTTTTTTCTCATTTCAATATAGTCTTTTTTATAGCATTCTAAGACAAAAATATGCCCCAAGTAGGCTTTCAATTATTGAATCATGAATCCTGAGATATAATAGTAAGTGATGCAATTTTTCCCTTATGATGATTGTAAGCTCTCGTCATCAGGTAATAGAATTAAATACAGTTAATCTTGTACAAAAAATTATAAGAAACGCTGGGCTGATTATTGTTTTCAATGTGTACTTCATTAGATGTATTTATGATTAAAACTTTACACGATAATGTAGCGAGACGATGATTTTCAGCAGTTAATTTTGAAGAAAAAAAATGTCAAAAAAATTCAGATATATGTATGGACTATACGATCTGTGACTATACCAAAGTCTATACCTAAACTAATCCCTTAGAAAAATACAATAAAAAAATAGAGATATTTAATAAGGAAGAGTAAAAATGAGACATAAAATCAGAAAAGTTAGTAAAAAGCATTTGCATTATTCCAAACTCATTCAAAAACAAATCTAAATAGGTTTGAACATTTTTATTCCATAAAAAATCACGAATTTTGAAAGAGAAGTCTGAAACTGACCTAGAAATTTGATAAACTAGATTGAATAGTTCGAATTCTTGTTGTAAGGCAAGATGGGGTGCTAAATTTGGTGGATCTTTCGGAAGATATTCATTGGCAATACAACCGGCTATACGTAAATAAGTCCAAAAATCTTGCATTTCATAGTCAATTAATTTTATTCCATGCATTATGTCAAGTGCACATTGCCGCACCGAATCCTTAAAATGATTTGTAAGGTATCTGCAAATTATAATTCAATGAAAATATACACTGAAAACAAATATTGATACAAATCTCCTAGCATTTTTTTGTCTGTAATTATTATTATTGACCTATTTCAGTTACCTATTTGCAGAATTCATTCCATCTTTCATGATACCAGTAAATTTCCTTTCTCCTGTCCTAGTATAGTCACCCTAAAAATAATCATTAATTATATTTTAAAATAAATAAATTGGAAACTCACTTTTAAAGCATTAGTTCCAGCATATTGCTTACTAATAGCATCCCCATTATTAGCCCACAAAAGTTGAAAAGTGTTTTTGATATTGCTTGGAATTTCTCCTTCAGGTGATACCAAACCTAATTTGCAAAATTGCATTTCCATTACAGCTTTTCCCAAAGCAGTCTAAAACATTATTTTTCATGTTCATTTTTTTATACTAATTATTGCAACTTACTTGAACAACATTTGTTCTATCTAAACAATCCATACAATTAACACGAAATACTCCATTTTGTGAGCAAATATGACCTTGTTTATCCCTCCAGCAATAATTCATGTCTTTAATAACATCAGCGACAGCACCAATTAAAAGAGAGACATTCTCAAAATGCATACCTTTACTAAAACAGAAAGAAAGTTTTCAACTACCAATTTTTGGAAAATTTAAATTTTTTTTACCAATATTCATGAAAATCAAATGTAACATAAGTTATAAATGGATTGTCCAATAAGAACATGTGGTTTGAATAGGCATCAAATATAACTTTTTCTTTCCCGCTTTGATCAACTAAATTTATAGCGCAAACAGGTCCATATTTTTTAATTTCCTCAGAAAAATGTTTTTCGAATGCTATCCTAGTTTCATTTTCACCTGGAAAATAATTTTCGAATTCAGATATCTTGAGGCGCATATTTTAAGTCGGTATTAACCCTTATCTAATCTGGGAGGTGGTCTATATTTATATCCAGGTTGGGACCAATAAACTGGAACAGACCCTCTGACTTGCAAAAATGAAACTTCATGTGATTGGTATGTAATTATTTGTTCTGTTTCAACATAATTTGCTACTTCACCTTGGTCATCTACACCTCGGCGTTTATATCTAAAAGATTGTAACTAATTAAGATAAATTAAAAAATAAGTGAAAAAATTACCTTGTCCCTGCTCTAAATCTGCTCCTTCTAGAAAGAATACAAAGCGTGAATATTTCATATTGTTTATCTTTATCTTCTTCTCCAATAAATGGCCCAACTTCAACTTTACAATCTTCAATTTGCACATAGCCCTGTATTATTGGCAGTATCCAAGGGTCACACAATGTGTTCTCAGTCCTTAATAAGCAACTAAGCATATGTTTATTCCAGAAAAACTTATCATCAGCAGTTCTCCATAGACATTTTAGATCAATGGAATTATTTTTCTCCAAATGACATAATCTTTGTAAAGAATTCGTCAGGTCTGTTGTGTGAGAATAGAAAAATGAATTTGATTCTGTAAATATTTTATAAAATTCTTCAATAATTTGTTTTTCAAATTTATCTTTGTCCTTTATGTCCCTTCTAGGTGCTCCGCCAGCAGCCATTGCTGCAGCTTGCTGAGTAGTATTTTTTATAGTATTTCCTGCAACTTTTAACGTGCCCCATGTTTTGCTGAATGTATTTTTTTGTAACTCTAACAATGCATTCCGATTGGTTGGCCTTTTTAGAGTAACAATACCTTGATGTTTTGAGCAAGGTCTAAGATTCAACTCTACATTTTCCGAATTTAGAGGTAAAAATACCACCGATTTAATTTTGAAAACATCATTGTTACCATGCAGTTTGCCCACTAGAGAACTTTCTTTGATGAGCAATAGGCGAGCATCGAAAAGAGGGATGTGCTCTACTTTTCCTATGATACCGTCGCATAGGCCTAGGCATACTGGGTCTTCTGCATCAGGTAAATCCCACCCTGAAATAAAGAATTAAATATTACAAGTCTAATAAGTCATGTAGGATGAATAGAAAGATGGACAGCAAGGATAAATAAACGTAATATACTCTCCTAAAAAAGTGGACTATTTTTGGCAAAACATCAGGTAATACCTTTAAAAAAACTTATAAATTCAAAGCTGGATATAGTAGATGTGTTTATGAAAACCTAAACCGCTGGAGATGCTACAAATGTGGTACCCTTGGTACCATGAAACAAGTTCCTGGACAAGAGAACAAGCTTGCATGTGTATAAGCGACACTTGCAATGAATGAATGAAGGTGGAAATGTAAATAAATCCTGTTCAATTGAGCATGACAGTGAAACAGAAGTGTGCCCTATTTTTCAAAGAAAAGCCAAATTAGGACGTGAAAATATTGACTACAATGCTTCCTTCTAGTAATGGGTATTTTCGAACGAATTGGTACCCATCAATCAAATTGCAAATGAGCTAACTTCTGTTGAACCAAATGAAATAAAAAACATAATATACTTCATTTATCTTAACATAAGTATGGCATCACATCAAATTTTGATGAGCTGCTAGTGTTCCTTGAAACTTTTGATCTCAAATTCTGTGATATATTGGTTTTAAGTGAATGCCATAGAATAACTGCTGAGATCTATCATGGTCCTTAACTTATATACACAAAAACTCATTTGAATTCAGATATTGTAAGTCATAAACTTTCTTTGTCCAGCAAAACAATCACTGAGTTCCCATTACCTATTTCTGGGTCCTGTATTGACCAAGGTATTGACCATATTTTTGTTAATAATAAAATTAAAACTAATCAGCTTCACATCTCCGGTTTTGTCATCAATTATGATGTCACTGACCACTATCCCTGTATGTTCAACATCTCAAAAAAAAAAAACAATCAACCATCTTGTGATAATAAACATCAGAATAATATTAGAAAAATTGACAACAATTACTGAAGATGCTAGCTAATGAATGAATCAACTGCAATTAGACCTCAATAAGACCTCAGAACACAATCAACAACTCACAAGGACCCAGTTGTTCTAGATATATGTTTTTGAGACCAGTAGTAAGCCGGAACGAATTGATAAAACAAATAGTTGAAAAAATAATTTTTGGAGGGGATCAATGGAATACCGACCAAAGTATTAAAAAATTTACATGTATTTCTAGTTGATCCCTTGTGTCATATAATAAACGCATGTTTTAAATCTGGGAAAAGTCCCAAGCCAGTTTAAGATTTTGGTTGTTATACCCAAGGTTACAACTCTCTATAAAAATTTCGGAAATATGCAGGAAATAAATAATTATCGCCTCATGAGTGTCATTAACAACATTGGTAAATTACTTGAAAACTGCTTGAAGGAAAGACCTAACAACTTCCTAAATATAAATCAAACTATATCGCAAAATCAATTTGGCAAAACACATACTACTTCTACTTCTGGAAGATTTATACCAGTATGGTGTGAAGGGGACTGTGTTAGAAGTCCTCAAAAACTACTTAGTGGATAGTAACCAGCAGTATGTCGAGATTGGGGATGTTTTTGCCTAAACAAGTCAAAATAGGAGTACTGTATCAGGTCGTCTACTTTTCAACGTTTACATAATCACTACAATCTTGACATTGAGGGACGAGTGTTGGCCTATGCGGACGATGCTTTCTTGATTTTTTTCTAGAAATTCTTGGGATGAAGCTAAAAACTCCTTTATTTCGGGCCTAGTATAAGTAAAAAAAGTTTGGGAAGAATTTAAACTACCGCTTAACATCAGTCAAACGAATTATGCAGCCTTTTCTATCACTTCTGCTTTTCGTCCAGATTTACATCAAATAACAATCAACAACAAACAACTCTTTTACTGAAAAAATTAGTCACTGTCAGTATTTTTGTAAAATAGTTAGATTGTTCATAAACTCTACTAACTTGGAGAAATTTTAAATCTTAAACTTTTCATAATGTTCTATAAACGTTTGGTTGAACCTCTATTGAAATACATTATTGTAGTATGGGAAGGAACTTATTCCATACATCTACAGTCACTTGAAAGTATATTCGCCAGCCAGCTTCATAGCCATCAACTTTACGAGGTAAGAATTATATAATGTTATTGGTATGAAATTTTCTTCAAAAGAACAGAAACAGACAACATCTTCTCTCATGGCTATAGAACAAAAAGTAAACTAAATAATTTCCTAAACGTACCAAAAAATAGAACGAACGCAATGCAAAAATTTGTTGCATCTTTGGAACTTTATGATAGAGAAAGAGCAGGTGCTCCTTTGATAAAAAAGAATGGTGAATGGAAATTCTAAATTACCATAAGTAAACGGTTTTTTTTTTAAATTCCAATAGGTACGAGAAAGAAGTAGTCCTAAAAATCAATACCAAAATTCCCATTAATATTCAATGGCATCGGACGATTGGCCTCACATTTCCTAAATATACCGAAGAGTAGTAGTTTATTGTATATTTGGCTCCTGAAATATTCAACTTAATGCCCAAAAAAGTTAAAGATAAAGAGAGCTATAAATCATTTAAGAAAAATTGTAGAAAAATTATACCTATTATTGATAATCTCGAGGATAATATACATCTACTCAAATTTGGATCATTCATATTTTATATTATTATAGTTGAATGCATGAGCTGGTATATTTTTGGAATTTTGATTGCTTGTTTAACTGCTGATTTTATAATGATTGTATACTGTAATAGCTATATTACCGAGTAGACTATTGTATATGTTTCCAAATTATAATGATGCACACACAGGTGTATAAATAACACACCAAGGGGCATTTAAGAATTTCGTTTCAATTTTAAGCTTTAACGGCTACACAGTGGTCTGCCAGATACTTGGCGAAAATCATTTTTGGTTATTTTGAAAATACTTGTGTTTTGAGAGGTGAGGGTTTAGGTACCTTTCAGTGAATCACTGTCCCACACATCAGTAATGATATAACGTCAGTGGAGTGAGCAGGGATTTTTTTATGATAGATAGGTACTTGTCTGCTAGACCACAGTGTAGCGATTACTTAAATGCATCCTGGTGACCCAAAATTTCAAAAATGGGCACAAAATCTTTTTAACGAAGAACACTTAGATAGACTCAAGCTGGTGCAAAGCAACTTGGAAATTTTCCAGCCCCTGAGGAAGTATATTAGAGTCTATTCTTTTCAAAATAAATTATAAATGAAATAATTTTTCATATTATTAAAAAAATTACAGGAGCTAAGCCGAGTTTGTTTGTTAACAGTTTCTACTTTTATTTGAACCAAATTTTTGATATATTTCCAGATTAATTTGAATTTAAAACACGAATTCTAATGGTGTGTCTGTGAGACCACTCTGTAGCGGTTAAAGGATTTTTTCCACCATAACTGTTAAAGGTTTAAAACCTATTGGATTTATACTGTAGTGTAAGCAAAATAATGCTACTGTTGTTGTTAAGTGAAATATGATAATATAGGATTCCAATTCCCATAGAATGACTAAATGGAATGATTCATAACTCAAATTTATACCTTCTCACCTATTCTTATCATAAAAATAGCGTGTGACAAATCTACGGAAACTATATTAATAGCAATAGGCAATTTACTAAAAAACTATGAAAGTTAAAGAAAAACTAGGCCTAAAAATTCGAGAATCAAGCAAGACAAACTATTATTCTAGTTTTCTTACCAGTTTTTGGAATAAAGGCCCCCGTATTTCGGTCCAGCCACAAAGAATGTTCCCCTTTCATGAAAATATAGAATTCGTTGGTGCGGAACAGTTCCATTTTTTTTTTTTTGAAGGTAAAAATCCTAAAATTTCCGCCCTTTAACTTCTATTAACCTTTTTCATGTATCAACCCATCACATCATTACTACCAGTGTTACTACACAAACACAAAAATACTGAGGTTAGATATTTAAATCTTTTGACAAGCAGGTGAAGGAGAGGGTTTGACAGAAAGAGATGTCAAATACGGATTTCAATGAGCGAAAAAGAGCAGATGCACCTTTGAATGAAAAGAATGCTGAATGGAATTTACTATAAAGAATTTTTTTTAATGCCAATAGGTAGGGGAAAGACGTAGTCCTAAAAATCAATACCAAAATTCCTATTAATATTCAATGAGCAATGGCATTGGCCGATTGGCCTGACACTTTTTTTTCACTCTGACAGTAGTTAAGAGTAAACCATCATAGACGGAAGAGAGACGTGAGCATGACGTGGGTCAATGAATTTGCACATGACAAAAAGAAAATACCTACTAGATTCAAATTATTGAATTAAAAAAATCTAAAAATAAGTAGTTTTTCTTTATCTTTAGAGGGATAGAATAAAATATGAGGCTATTTATGTGCTGCAAACGTGAGTTTGACGTATAAATGGTGTGTAGCCCCTAAGAATTCTGCATTTTGTTTTGTATGTAATCCTGCAAACCCAAAAATCTGATATCTATGTTTCTTTCAATCATAGTTAGGTAGAGGTTACCTCCACCACATCACATCCTAATTATATTTAAATCCAAATAAATGTAGGTATGCACAATTTTAAGAGAATCATCTTCTAGGAAAACATATTCCAAGTAGTTGTCACCTCAATTAGTGATTACCATGCGAGAAGTAGGTACTTATACAGGGTGTCCGGAAAGTCAACGATAATACTGAAAGGGCTGATGGAGCAACTCATTAGCATCCAGAAAAACATAATATGACCTTAGTAAAAAATCGATGGTTTTCGAGATATTGTCACTTTAATAAAATTCATTAAAATCGTCCTCTTGGATCAGATTTTCGAGTGTCACCTTCAAATTTTCATTATTTTCAGATTCTGAATTCTGTTTTGTAATGGTGAATAGATATTTCATTTGTCATAGACCAACACTAAAAGTCAAAGCTCAAAACATTTAATAAAAAATCTTTTCAAATTGGAGTATGGCTTATTTTTATTTTCCATCACTCAAGTTTAAATGTTTTGAACTTTAACTTTTGATGTTGGTCTATGACAAATGAAATGTCTATAATAATGGAAATTTCAAGGTGACACTCGAAAATCTGATACAAGAGGACGGTTTTAACGAATTTTTTTAAAGTGACAATATCTCGGAAATCATCGATTTTTTACTAAGGTCATATTATGTTTTTCTGGATGCTAATGAGTTGCTCCATCATCCCTTTTAGTATTATCGTTGACTTACCGGACACCCTGTATACTTCATACTCCCCTTGGATTGGTATCTTATGTTCCCCTATTATTAGAACATAACTTTTGTTTTTCAATGCTGAAAAAACACCTACTTGAAATTTAAATGCATGCGGTTATTCTTTATTGTTCACCCACTGAATTTCATATTCGAGAATTGTCGCTATAAATTTTGAACTAAAAAAAACTGATATGATTAAGATATTTAGATGGTTTTCATGTAGATATCATCAATCTTAAGATGTAATCGATCAATCAGATCTGAGATTGATTTTTGACTGGTATTATCCCACTGTATAAGTACACCTATCTATCTGAAATCTTTATCTAACTAGGAATAGGATATAAAAACATTTAAAAAAAATTATAAACAATAGGTAGGTACCTAATAATTTGTATTGCATAATCATTTCAATTTGTTAGAAATGCATTAGGTATATTCAAATATCTGTGTATCAAACAAAATCCAAGAGAGTGTATCAGAAATAAATTCAATATAAAATAAATTAGGGCATTTTCGAACAAACCGTTTCTTATTTTGTTTGAAATTTTCCACTTAATTTTTTTTATAAAGGATGTTTTGTTTGTTATACCTACAGGCATTATCAACTTTATTTTTTTGAATGGCACCGGCTGTATGTTACAATATTCCTGGATTCTACGAAGAATTCTAAGACATATTTCAATTTAACGCTTTTACCTATCTTTTACTATTTTGGAAATATTTACACTTGAAAATTGTTATTTTTTTAATGACTGCATCAGAATCTGAAAAACGGATATTGAAATAGAGCAATAATCGGCTCGCACATTCCACTCCTATCCTAAGTTCTCATAGGCTATCGGCTTCCACAAATTATAATGTTTTAAGGAAACAGTAGTCGTGCCTGATATTTTGCTGTTTAAAGTTTACTTATTTCCATAGGAATACTATTTTCGTTTCGTTAAATGAACAACATTGGAATAATAACGCGCGTTCGAATTGTATGTGTGTATTTGTGAGTTTTATTGTGATTTAATTTCAAGTAAAAGAAATTTGAAATGAGTGTCTCAACCTCAACAACGCAAAGAATTGGAATTCCAATAAAGATTGGGTATGGAAATATGTAGAGTGCGAACCCATAGCAGGAGGGTTGTGTTTTAATCAACAGCAATTATTCGAATAGACCAATAAATCAATCAGTAGTCAGTAAAATTGAGAGAAAGTTTCGAGAACGAGAACGAGCAGGAAAACCTTATGTGTTACTAGCTGTAGAAGAAAATCCACATTAGGGCCAAATAATGGACCGACTGGTAACGTCACAAGCATATTTATCCAGCAGTCAGTCCCTAATTTGGCTCAGTAGGTAGCACTCGTCAAATTAGTCCCGATTACGATCGACGAATGCAATTCTGTTAAACCTTAACGAGTAGGTATGCTTTTCATTAGGTACTCTGTTCATAAAAAGTCGTTTTTGGGAATTCCTGTGAAAATTTCTTGTGTATTGAGTTGGTGTTATTTGATGTGCAAATCATTTTGCTCAATCCGTTTGGATTCCACAGCCGTTCGAATTTGAAAAATAACAATTTTCAATGGGTAAAAACTTCAAATTGAAATATATCTCAGAATTATCTGTAGAATCCAGAAATGGAATACATTGAAGTAGTCCATCTCTCAAAGTGAAGTTGAAATTTATTTCCATAAGAAAGCACAAAGTCTTCCTCCACAAAATACTTTAATTAAGTTAAAGCGCCCTATACATGTTTCAAGGCTAGAAAACCTCATCATCAGGGGCATGAAGTTTGCTTACACATTACAAAGTAGTTTAGGTCGCTAGACTTCGCCTTGTCAGAGGAAAGGAAACAGGAAGCTGAAAAATTGAAAGTCATTTAGTTTATATTGAATTTATTCCATACTTTATTACTTATTTACAGTCGTTGAGTGTTTCTGTAACTGGTACCTGTTGCAAACTTTCGGTAAATGCATGCTATCAACATCTTTCAATACGGTCACGGATTCCTGGTCCGCTTAAATCACTCCACAAACAGTACCTAACAATAGAGCAACAACTTTTCCATGTATCGGAAGGTACACAACAAATCCCGTATTTGGACTTACTCCCAAAGTCATTACTGTGCGCTATTTATAAGCGACATCGCACACCGGATTTTTAGTTTACTAGAATTCCCGTTTTCTTGCACAAAAAAATTCCATGACTAGACTCGTAAACCACTGGGTGGGTTGTCAATGCAATTTCCTAACACTGCCTCCCTCTCAAATCTGATCATCCCGATCTGACCATTTATTCTCGTGATAAGCCTTCAACCTGTTAAGCACCACCCTCATCTTACCTTTTGGGCCGCGTTAGATTCGATGCACCACGAAATTTTCTTAAGGGTTATAAAGCCAAACACTTAATTCTCCTGGAAACCTGCAGAGTTTGCCTAAAATCACATCTCGTTTTCATTCGGTGACTTGCGAACTCTGTCCTTTCTCTAACTATGTCATGGATATGAAGGCCTTTTCCACAAATCATCAGCATAGTCTCCGGATTTCAAACGAAGCTCCCTTCCAAACAACATTTCAGCTGGTGCAACGCCTGTTGTGTTATGTACGACTGACCTGTATGCCACTAGAAACATAGGTATATGCTCGTCCCAATCGTCCTGATTCCTGTCGACTACTTTGAAGAGATGGTCTTCGATTGTCTTTTTGAATCTCTCAACCGCAATCTGATTGTATGTTGTATGGATGCAATGCCATGTTTTTGGTCTTGTGAATGCCTAGCAGTTAGCAAAGTTTTTAAAACAGTTGTGAAACGAAATCGCGCCCTGGATCCGAATGAAGTTCCAATGGGATTCCAGACATAGTAAAAACATTGTTGACAAGGACTTTTGCGACTATGTAGACGCTTGCTGAAATAATCTATGGCAACCAGGTTGTAGTTTCCTATTTATTGCTACCCTGCGCCAAAGGAAATTGATCGGTTAATTATGTCTATTGCCATCCGTTCGAAGGGTATCCCCACGTTGTACTGCTTGATTTTCCCCTTAAATCTCATTATAATAGGACCTTGACTTGCTGGGCATGTCGTATATTGTCGGCACGCAGCAGTAGAAATACGAGAGCAACTAGCGACCGAAAGCTTTATATGTATATGGAAGTAGGGATATTGCGTTAAAGGAAAGGAATGCTGCTCAAAGCCAAACCATTAAGAAGCAGCAAAGCTCTAATCAAGGTCCTAGTAATCCGAAGCAAAGAACAGAGAGTTGTGTCAATAGAAGAAGAAAAAACAAACAATAGCAAAAATTATGAAAGACTCGATAAAGGAACCACAGAAGTTTGTTACCACAATCAAGCATGGGAAGTTGCAAGGGGGCAAAAAATGATATTTCAAACGCGACTGTAGAGTACAACTGGGATCCCGCTCTCCTTATCTGATACAATTGTACAATTTCCTGAGCAAATATCGCTCTGGCGAACTGCATAACAAGGCAAATGCCTTATCCAGCCGACCATGGCAAGAATTGTCTTTGCTCTGTATGGGATAGTTTTCGATGATCTCGAATCACCTAATCACGATGTAATTTGACTTCTACTCATATGATTAAAGCTTGTTTGCTGCGTGTATCTTTCACCCAACGACTCCAGTTATAAACTTATTCGAAAATCTGGCAAATTCATTTGATTCTATCCAGGAAACCCATCCGAATTCCGAGATTATTTTCTTGGGAGATTTTAATGTGCATAACTCAGAGAGTTGCTTAATAGTCCAGGAGCTGGCGTCGAAAATATGCAAGAGTTTTCGCAAGGCTCATATTTTCAGAATGAGTAGTATTTTAGTGCTACAAAGCTAGGCTACAGTCAGCAGTTCTAGTTCCGGGACACCTGGAGCTGAGATGCGCGCAAAGGTGTATTTTTAATCAACACCTCGCAACAGTTTTCGCAAAGCTGAAAATTTGCAAAGAGCAGGCGAATATAATGTAGAACCATAATTTAACAGTCAGACAAAGAAATACGGGGACACGTAGAGTCAGCGCGACTTTGAAGTGGTCAAAAAAATGACGTCACCAAAAGTGTTTTCGCATGGCTGAAATTTGGCAAGGTAATAGTAAAAACAATGTATTTATTGAAAAAAAAAGTCAGACACTTCTATGTCGGGACCCCGCCTGTCAGCAGTCGATTAGAGTGATATAGGTGGTAGCGCGCGTCATTAGGCATATATCCATGTCGAATAATAATTTCACCAAAAGTGTTTTCGCATAGCTGAAATTTGGCAAGGTAATAGTAAAAACAATATATTTATTGAAAAAAACAGTCAGACACTTCTATGTCGGGACCCCGCCAGTCAGCAGTCGATTAGAGTGATATAGGTGGTAGCGCGCGTCAATAGGCATATATCCATGTCGAATAATAATTTCACCAAAAGTGTTTTCGCCTAGCTGAAATTTGGCAAGGTAATAGTAAAAACAATATATTTATTGAAAAAAACAGTCAGACACTTCTATGTCGGGACCCCGCCAGTCAGCAGTCGATTAGAGTGATATAGGTGGTAGCGCGCGTCAATAGGCATATATCCATGTCGAATAATAATTTCACCAAAAGTGTTTTCGCATAGCTGAAATTTGGCAAGGTAATAGTAAAAACAATATATTTATTGAAAAAAAAAGTCAGACACTTCTATGTTGGGACTCCCTCAGTCAGCAGTCGATTAAAGTGATATAGGTGGTAGCGCTCGTCAATAGAATTTTACTCTATATATATATATCCATTTCGATGAATAATTTTATTTCTATAATTTAAATTATTTGGAATCGGAAACGGTAAAATACATTTTTTTTTCTCTTAATGAGTAAGTGTAAACCTGTAAGTTGCAAGCGTAAGCGCGTATACTTGAATAAGGCGTATATGCATTCGAATTCGGAAACTTCATTATGGTACTGTTAGGTCGAGATTAGGGGAAGGGAAGCGGCAGATGTGATTAGAATTTTTTTTTTGTATTTTATAAAATCGGCGACGATTATAAGTATTTAATGAAACTACAATAAATATAATTAAAACTGAATTTATTTAATTACTATAGGTATACTATCACAGTACTGCTGATTAAATGGTCAAGTAATATTTATACGAATCGGGCTTTTTTCTAACCGCAAACTTTTTAACTGCATGTACAATTTTATTTTACCGTTTCCGATTCCAAATAATTTAAATTATAAAAATAAAATTATTCATCGAAATGGATATTATATATAGAGTAAAATTCTATTGACGCGCGCTACCACCTATATCATTTTAATCGACTGCTGACTGAGGGAGTCCCGACATAGAAGTGTCTGACTGTTTTTTTCAATAAATATATTGTTTTTACTATTACCTTGCCAAATTTCAGCTATGCGAAAACACTTTTGGTGAAATTATTATTCGACATGGATATATGCCTATTGACGCGCGCTACCACCTATATCACTCTAATCGACTGCTGACTGGCGCGGTCCCGACATAGAAGTGTCTGACTGTTTTTTTCAATAAATATATTGTTTTTACTATTACCTTGCCAAATTTCAGCCATGCGAAAACACTTTCGGTGACGTCATTTTTTTGACCACTTCAAAGTCGCGCTGACTCTACGTGTCCCCGTATTTATTTGTCTGACTGTTAAATTATGGTTCTACATTATATTCGCATGCTCTCTGCAAATTTTCAGCTTTGCGAAAACTGTTGCGAGGTGTTGATTAAAAATACACCTTTGCGCGCATCTCAGCGCCAGGTGTCCCGGAACTGGAACTGCTGACTGTAGCCTAGCTTTGTAGTACTAAAATGCTACTCATTCTGAAAATATGAGCCTTGCGAAAACTCTTGCATATTTTCGACGCCAGCTCCCCGACTATAAGTTTTTGAACAAAACAATCCATATGCTGGAAGAATAGGCCCCTTGCATCAAATTTTTTTATTGCTGATTTCGATAGTCCATGGAAAAAAAATAAGTCAACACGTGTTTTTTCTTTTTTTTGTTAGTCAAAAATTGACGGAGATACAAACGCTTTGAAATGTCCTTCTGACGTCATAACTTATAATACGTTGTGACGTCGCACATGCTCAGTATATCTATATATACAAAACTCAATATTTGTATAACTTTCGAAATAATCATATTTGGACAAAATAAAAAAACACGCATCGATTTTTTTTCGATTTCCTACTGTTTGCAATGAACAATAATCAATTTAATTTTCCATGCAAGTACCCTATTGCTGAAGCATTTGCCATTTCACACGGCTCAACCCATTGGTAGAAGAGCCCACACCTATTCCCGATTCCGTTTCTCAACAGGCCAATTTACTGGATTTGTTCCCTAAGTAATCTTTGGGCACCTTTGGTCAAATCAGACCAAAAATTAATTTCCGCTGGAAGTCCGTTTCTTATGCCCTCCAGCCACTCACCAACTACTAACAACTCCTAACAAGTGATTGTGTTAAGATTGCTCTTGGACAGCGAACATATTCACAGATCCAACAATATGTTCGCTGTCCACATCTTTTGGGGGTGTTCATGTTCATGAAACTCGATGAAGATTACCCCAGTCAGGCGACTAGAATTTTGTGAAACATTTTGTGCAATAATAATTCGCAGTTTACACAAAGAATTGTATTTTCGGATGAGGTAACTTTTTATCTCAGTGCAGTGTAAACAGGCAAAACTGTCAGTGGATTGAGCTACTGGAAATCCCCACTGGATAATGGAATTCCACACGCAATATCCACAAAAGAATATAATTTTTCGGCCCGATTCATTGACGACAGCATAATAGGGCCCCTTTTCTTCGATGGAAACTTAAACGGCGACAGCTATTTAGATTTTTTAGAAATGGAAGGGGTCGCAATTTCTTTCATGTCTAGCCCCTTCACCTATAATCCTGATCCAGTGAGTCCTGATGATACATCACATATTTCTTTATATGGCCTCAGAAAGATAGGTCTCCGGCGCATTACACTATTTCCGTGCGTGGATACTTCAATGCGGTTTTCCTTCAACGTTAGATTGGTCGAGCAGGTCCTACTAAATGGCCGACCAGATCACCGGATTTGACTCCTTTATTAGATTAGCAAGAGTTATCTTGTTATCTTAAGTCTAAAGTCTATATGTTAACCGACCCAACGACGCAATCGAAGAAATGAAAACTATTGGATAACAAACGAAATAAGATCCTTTCGTTGTCGATAACGTTTTGCGGGAATTCCAGAGGGCAGGATCCTCTTGGATACTGCCAGTTGGTTGGTGGAGGTCAATTTGAACATCTAATCAAATGATTTTTATTTTTCATTCTCTTTTTACTGTTTTTAAACAAATAAAAGTAAAATAAAATAAAAAATCGGTGTTTCCGTTGAAATTAAAAATATTAAGTTAGCTGTCATAACTTGTTTTTGGGTCACCCTGTATGTATACTATGTGTCCCACTAAGGTTGGCGAGGTACGCAGTAAGGTTTATGGTTTTCATAATATTGTAGGTCCCTACCTCGCCGACCTGAGACACCATTGCTGTTTCCTCACGTTCACTTTTTTGATACTGGTTCAAACAGGTTTGAAACAATGAAACAGTATATTCTCGCGATGAACCCATGACGTCACATCAAAATTGTTCCAAGCCGTTTCGAAATAAAATCCAATTCAAGTTTTCAAACCATTTTCTCGCGCCGAAAAATTATGACGTCATATGACACTGTTTTAAACCAGTTTTGAAAAACGTTTTGAAATTTGAGACGCGAGAAAACACCTCTTGTCTACCTACATGACATTGTTAGGTTTCTTCCAACACGTCAAAAACGGTCTCATGAACAGTTTCGAAACCACTCCATTGGAAAAGTTGGTGCGCAAGTGTATTCGTGCCATTTTCTACCAGCTTGTATAAGAAAGCGATAAAAATACTTTTTTTGCACTGATTTTACCAATGGAATTCGCTATTAGCTTTGCGCAGAATCGGGACGGTACAGTACGATTTCTTGGTGTGTTGCAACAAAACTGTTATTATCAAAGAAACGGAAACTAAAATTAAAAATATGGTTGCGGCTGAGGTTTTTTGGAAAAAGTCACCCCTGTATGTATACCTATTTGGACGTAAAGGTGCATTTTTAGGGTTTCACAACACAAAAATTATTATTTCCGAATAGGACATGGATAGGTAGGTACATAAAATATGTACAGAATTTGACGTACCTACCTAGAATTTGAAAATAAAATAAAAAAATTGGTGTTTTCATTTAAAAAAAAAGTTAGCTGGCATAACTTGTTTTTGTTCACCCTGTGTACTTACACGATTATTATCATGTTATTTTGAAAAAAATCAACCCTATTTAATCGATACATATTCCAATCTTTGCGTGCTCTATTTGGGATAGCTTTGAAAAAAGATGCTGAAAAAAAAAAACAAGACGTAATTTTACATAACTTTTTAGTTTTGGTTTTCGGTTATTCTACTAAAAATTCAAAAATAAATTTGGTAAGCACACGATTTGATAGGAAATTTAATTTTCTATCCAAAAGTATTGTGATAAAATCTCGAATTTTGTTTTTTTATGGAGTTATTTTGCAAAAACTAAGAAAGGTGCATTTCTGGTCGGTTCCCAAAACCGCAACCCTTAGCCGCAACCTTGACTTTAATTTATTCTAGTGCGTACTGAGTGCTGCACTGAGACGATAAATGGAAAACGCCACGAAAACCGTAAACGTCAAAACTTTTTAGGTTAAAATAAATAAAAACAAAAAAACATGCTTGAGCTTGACAGCGACAGAAGTAAACAATTTTTCACAAATTTTTATGAACCAAAAAATTTTTTGTAGCCAGTATACCTAAACAAGCTATTAAACATCTCTATTGAAATGGAAACCTGTACTGTTTTAGCTACGGACGGTAAAATTCCTCTAATAATAAAATGGAGTGGAAAAGAATACGAAGTATACATCTCAGAGAACGACTCGGTTGCAGATTTGAAAAGGGAAATTTTATACAAAACTGGTGTAAGGCCGGAGCGCCAGAAACTTCTAAACCTCAAATTGAAAGGTATGACAGCTTTGTTGTTGTAGTATTTGTATTTTTTTTTTTTAACGCATTTATATATTATTAAGTAAGGAGGTTGCAAACATTATAAGCCTCTGCCAGTAGGAAGCTCCTGCACCAGTACCATTCAACTAGAAGTACCTAGAAGCATTTTCCTATTTTCTTTGTTTTCACAAATCAGCATGCCCAATAAAGCATAGTGCCATAATAGCCTTAAAATGCTCTTCGGTTTTCTAAATCTGGATTTATATATTTTAGGTTGATGCACAGTCATACTTTCAAAATTGCTATTCTGTGGCTGCGAGGATCACAGTTCCTAGTCTTGACTCACATAACCTAAAATTTTCTTATTTCAATTTTTTATTTTGGTAGTGCCACAGTTTGTTTAAGGCCCCTATTTTCTAATTTTCTAATTTTTTTCTTTTTTAGGGCCGTAATTTTATTACATTTAAGGTGTAGCCAGTGAACATTTCATTTCCCATTCAAATTTTTCAAGGAACAGAAGAATTTTATTTTGCTCTGTCCCGACGAGATTTACTTTTGAACATTCTAAAGGGCCCATACACTACGTTCTTTTTCGGCGGTTTTCATGGCCACAATGAAACACGTCGTTCCAAAACCGAAGTGTGTAGTAGAAAAACATGAGGGTTTTCTACAGGGCCCCATACACTTCTATGAAACACGACGGTTTCAGAACGACGTGTTTCATCGTAGTCTGTGGGGCCCTCTGTAGAAAACCGTCGTGTTTTTCTATCACAACTTTGGTTTTAGAACGATGTGTTTCATCGTGGCGATGAAAACAGTCGTGTTTCATCGTAGTGTAAGGGGCCCTTAATCAAATCATTCTAAAACATTTGATCATTAGAAGGGGTCTAGAAGTTAAAGCAAATATGGTGACTTCTTGGGTAAATTATCTGTTTAGTTGAAAAAATAGTATATATTTCTCTTATCTTTGATTTTTATTAATGGGTATTGTTCTTATGTGTAGAATGGTGACAAGCGGCACGTACACAAACTCATATGGACAGGAAAACTACAAATAATTGCAAATAAATAATTTTCAAAATTGCAATTTTCTTTGAGGTTTTCTTGGTTTTCTCAACAATTTTGTATTTGGCACATGGCCCCTTCTTGCTCTACAGGGGCGATATGTATAGTTCTGACATCACAAAGTTTATAGCTATGAAGCTGGCTGGTCAAATATTATCTTGATTTTTTTAAAATCACCTTTCTTATATAATTTTTTAATGTCTTCAAGTGATCTTAGACGTATGGCATATTAAGTTACTTCCCATACTACAATACTGTATCTCCATACAAACAGATTCAACCAAACAACACGATTTTATTTCTGAAACTATAAGTCCAAATGAGCCTAAATTTTCAGGGATTGTTGTCCTTTACTGGGATAAGAATCGCTGAAAATTTCAGCTTTCTATCTACGATAGAAAAAAAGTTATGATTTTTTGAAGTTTCTAAAAATCCAAATCATAAGGGAGGTACCTTAGCACTGGTCCCAATAATCCTTTGGGATCCCCCAAACTCTATACACTTAATTATTCCGAGATATGAAGCCGAAATCTAAGAAAAAAGGCACTCAGAAAATTGAAAAATTGATAATTTCACCCCTAATTGCTTAACGCGATTCTATTTCTGGAACTAAAAGTCCAAATGAGCTGAAATTTTCAGGGTTTGTAGTCTCGATTGTAGTCCTTTAGTGGGATAAGAATCGCTGAAAATTTCAGCTTTCTATCTATGATAGAAAAAAAGTTATGATTTTCTTAAGTTTTCAGAAATCTAAATCATAAGATAAAATTATTCACTCAATAAAACTTCTGTAGGAATATCGGGTGACGTTGGTAGTGCTAACTTGATATCAAGCTAGCACTACCAGGGCATTTAAGAAAAAAAAAAACGCGATAAGCTAATGACTTAACGTCATTTTCCGGCGGGGGTGTGCTATAACTTGATAGACGTCGGGAGCAAAACTGTGAGAGTGCAGCAAATTGTAAGGTCCCTGTGAAGGCGACGAACTTGAAGAGTACCAATATTTAGATAGTTTTCCATTTCAGAATAGTTGATTTTCTCAGCTGTATGATGCTGTTTGAAAGGGATGTACCTCAATAGTTTATGCTGCACTCTTTCAATAGCCTAGATATGGACATCGTAATGAGGATACCAAACACAAGAACAGTAATCGAGGTGTGGGCGCACAAGAAAACAATACAGTATTTTAATTGAAGAGATGTGGAGAAAGTCCTTAGTACAGTGTAGTACAGTGCTTCATGAAACCCAAAATTTGAAGAGATTTGGAGACAGCCAATGATATTTGAGGTATATAAGACAACCGACTATCCAGAATAACTCCCAAATCTCTTATCTGAGAAACAGCATTCAGCGGACAACCATTCACAGAGTATACCCGCTGGATGGGGTTTCTGCCACGACTGAAAATCATTAGATGACACTTTTCAACATTTAATTCCATTCCATTTTGATTACACCAACCAGACAAACGATCCAAGTCAGATTGTATTTTTAAACAATCTTCAGTTTTGTCGACTCTCATGTAAATATTAAATCATCAGCAGACATTAAAAAATATGTGTGTAATAAACAGGACGAAATATCATTAACGTACACATTGAAAAGCAAAGGGCCAATATGCGAACCCTGAGACACTCCTGATGGGAATCGGATTTTACATGACTTGTAGCTTTGAAAACGTACTAATTGCGTTCTACCAGAGAGATAAGATTTTAGCCACCTTAAAAGCCTTCCATGGATCCCTTTCACAGCCAATTTTTGAATTAGTACTTCATGGTTTTCACGATCGAACGCCTTTGAAAAATCGGTGTATATGGCCTGTACATGATGCCTCCCCTCCAGGGCCTCCAACAAAAAGTCGGTAAATGTGAACAGGTTATGTTCAGTCGAGCGATGCGCAATAAACCCAAATTCTGAGCTAGAAAATCACAAGCAAGGCTTTCAAAGACTTTAGGTATACAGTTTAGTATACCAATGGGCCTATAGTGATCAACTTGCCCGTATCTACTGATTTTAGAATAGGCAATAAAGCAAGTTTTCCAGAAAGTTGGAAAAATACTTTTGTCAAAGATGGGACATTGCGTGAAACATCACAGACATTATCAGAGTACATATGCGAAAAATACTCAGCAAACAAATTCACAATTTCGCCACCAGTTGAAAACCTGATATTATTGTACTGCATTCCAGAAGGAATATCACAATTTTTCTTTTTACTGTGAATGGAAATGTATTTTTTGCGTGCTTTTTTTCTTTTCTATTATTTATTTTATTTATTATTTATTTAATATAATACACAACAGAGGAAGCTCCAAATGGTATAACTTATATACTAGGTCTATAATTATAATAATAAACACATAATAAATTAATAAGTGAAGGGTTAAGTAAATAAATGTCCACGCCCATACATCGGAGTTGCAACCAATTAGAGAGGTAAATTTTCCAAGTGAATTGTCTGAAATCATTGAGCCAATATCGATCTCAACTTATTTTTGAAGGTGATTGGAGTGCAGTTGAAATCGACATTCATCGGAATATATGTATTGAAAAGATGCATAATACGGTTCATAGCACTGTTTTTGCCAACGTTGGTTCGGCTTCTATTAGTTAAAAATATGTCGTTTAAACGTGTATTGACAGATGGTATTCGAATGTTCATAAGTGCTAAGAGATCAGAGCAATTTATGTTATAGGTAATTATATTGAAACCGAATGTTAGTGTAAGGAAAACCCTACGCATCTCCAGGCTTTGTATATTCAGCATTTGTAGACGATCCTGGTGGGAAAATAGGTTTTTGTCGATTCCGAGTTTATATAATAGGAAATTAACAAACTTCATTTGAACTCGTTCGATGCGTTTAATATGGATTTGGTAATATGGTGACCAGATCACGCAGCAATACTCAAGGTGACTTCGCACCAACGAAAAATAGAGAGATTTTAGTACCTCGACATTAGAAAACTCCCAGCATCTTCGCATTATAAACCCTGCCATTTTGAAAGCTTTGGACAGGATATGATTTATGTGGTTGTTGAATCTTAATTGGGAATCAAAAATTACTCCCAGATCATTTATAAGGTCTACTCTGGGGAGCGGAGAACTTGAAATATAGTAGGTGTGCAATGTTGGGCGCTTTTTTCGAGAAAAAGATATTGATTTACATTTGGAGATGTTTAATTCTGTTCCATTAGATGTGCACCATTCTGATATTTTATCGATCTCGAGCTGTAGAATTGAACAATCGAGACTGCTAGTGATTTTCCTAAAGATTTTTAGATCGTCGGCGTAAAGGAGGAAATGGCAGTTGGTAAGTACGTTGGCTAGGTCATTGATGAACACAAGGAACAATATAGGACCTAGATGAGAGCCCTGGGGTACTCCGGATGTCACCATTATTTTTCTTGATATGGAACCACCAAACCTGACGAATTGTGTTCGGTTACAAAGGTAACTTGCTATCCATGTTAGAAGAGGATCTGTGACGCCAAATGATTCAAGTTTGCTGATCAAAATAAGATAAGATTATCGTTTCCTTCAAGCCCTGAGAAAACCACGCAAGAAAATTTTTGGCAGAGTACTTTTTAAGAGGAACAAAAAGGTCGACAGTTAAGTACAAAACATCATAAAATACATTGATCATATCGTCCAGGGATTTATTTAGGAACACAGTGTCTCAAGTGAAACAGGCGAGAAAGTCACACCACCGTAATGTCCATGGCAAGGAAGTCTCTATGAAAAACCCTCACCTATGGTCTCATGATTGTTAAAATGGCGATTTTTACACTTAATACTGAAAATTAGTGGTGGGTGGTGGTTGTCCACAGGTAACAGACTTTCGTCTGCATAGAGAGTTGTAGCTTCCTTGTCCTGCAAAAACACCAGATCCAGGATAGATCCGGTGTCGTTCCTAAGTGAGTTTACCTGATATAGGTTATGGTATGAGCATAAAAATGCTGGTACTTGGAAGGACTCAACTTCCTTTGGAGAAGCTGTTGGCAGAGGGACAGCCACAGAGGCCAAATCAACTTTTGACCATTGTCCATGTCCATGGAAGATTAAAATCGCCCAATACAAACACTTCACTATCTGGATATCGTTCCGTCAGTTTTTCCAGGATGTCAACAAACTTGGCATACTTTTCAAAGGCACTCCGACGTGAGAAATAAGCAGTTGCAAAAATGAAATTGGTACCGTTCATATCGATCTGTACAAACAAATGTTCAATGTTACTACTTGCTTTCAGGACTCTACTTGTAATATTCTTTCAAACTGCTATCAGTACCCTACCTCCTCTTGAGAAAACGCTTGTTTTGACATATCTGTCCTTTCTGTAAATATTGGAATCGAGCATTTGAAGTTCAACATCCTGGAAGTGTTCCGTCAACCAAGTTTCATTAAAAACAACGATATGGTATTCAGAGTAAGAAACATCCTCAAAAAGCAAGTGAAGCTTGGTGCGTAAACGTCTAACATTTTGGGAATCCCATTGATGTACTCCAAAAAAAAGTTCTTTTCACGTTTTAGCAGTCTTTGCTTCAGTTCGTTTTTTAAGTTAAGCTCCACACGTTGTTCAGAAGTTAAGTCAGGTTCTAAATATATGCCCCTGCCTCTATCCAACTTCTTTTTATTTATAAGAACTAGACGAACAACCTCTGGAGATTGAAGGGAAAGCCGCAAAGACCGATGTCCATTTTTGTTGCGTTTCCCAACTCTAGAAACAGTCACAATGCTGGCAGGCGCATTAACAAGCTGCGATAATAGTATGTTTGTGTCAATCAAGTCGTCCTGATCATTGTTTTCTCGTATATTGAATAGCATCAAGTTATTAGTCCTTTTTTGGCATTCAGACATCTCATGGAGGACATTACTTGAACCGCTACTTGAGGCAACAGCAGCATGTTCTGTCACTTGTACAATTATTATTGGAAGATGTGGTATTTTTGATTTTCGTTGAATCCTGCTTAATGTCATCAAGGGTGGTCAAGAAACTAGTTTTCATGCTCTTGACATTATGTATTATTTTAATCTATGGCTACATATGGTATTTTCTTGTGGGGTAGTGCTTATAATGTTGAATTATCAACTTTATACAAAATATTTGAAATAGGAGTAGTGAAACTAATATTCCAAGTGAGAAGTCATCAGTTAGATATGATATACAAAGTAAACATGAACGATGAAACTTCAAGACAAATTTATTATTTTAATACTTTTATTATAAACATTAATTGTCTTTAGTCTTGTTTCATTACTAGAAAAGTTTCAACCAGAAACAGAAGCATTCCATGTATCCAAACTGCATTTTTTTTGCAGAACTATTATCATACATTCTCGCCAAGTAATGAAAATTACATAGGGAAAAGGGGAAAAAATGATGGAAATAATACATTACAAAGAGTTGTTGAAAAGTTTTGTTTTGGATGGTGATCCTCCTTGTTGTCATCTTTGTTTTTCCACTGGATACACCTTACATTTTGTCCATTTTGATATGTCTACCTAATGAAAACAAAAAACCTTTCTGTGTAATTAAGTATAGAAAATATTCTACGGAATTTTAAAACAACTTTCCACTTCAATTTAGCTCCTACAACCAGGTCAACTTCAATTTGAAATGTTTGTCAGTTTTTCATCTAGTTTAAGAATTACATTATAGCTCGCATTAGAGGTACAAATGCATGCCACCAATTTCTATAATGATATCTATCATGATTTGTGTCAATGGTTCAATATTGGCTAACGCTCTAGTCTTGACATGAAAAAACATAACCATAGAACAGATTTTATTTTAGACGCCTTCAAGACACAAGTTATTTTTTCTAAAACTAAATTATATTACAGGCAAAGTTGCTGATGAAGAATGTAAAATAGCCACATTGAAGCTAAAGCAGAACTTCAAAATTATGATGATGGGCTCACTGGAACAAGATATTGAACAAGTTATCTCCGCCCCTGAAAATTTCCCAGAAGTAATTAATGATTTGGAATTTGAAGGTGATTATTAAACAATTTTAGTAGCTCTATTGTGTTAAGCTAAACCCAAAATTTTTCTAGATAAAGAAATCGCCATCGAAAACCAAGAAATATATCTAAAGAAAATAGCAAAGAGAGTGAAGGAATATCAAATAAACATTTTAAATGATCCAAGACCAGGAAAAAAATTACTTGTATTGGATATTGATTATACATTGTTTGATCACAGGACTACAGCTCAGTCAGGTTAGTTTAAAACTCTGTTTAAAATTATTTCACAAAAAAAAATTAATCAAATCAAATAACGGTTTATTGTCTAAAGAAAAAACTCATTGACAAAGCCTAAAAAATATAAATTTAACCCTAAATTCTAAATTTTAGCAATACGCAATACAAAATAAATTATAGACACATAACTTAGGGCTAGTCAATTGTTCAAATATACTACAAATATTATTTCGATTAGATAAAATTAAGTTAAAATACAAAAATTTACACAAAAACAGGAATACTTTTTTAAAATCTCAATATAATAGTTAAACAAAACAAAGTAAAAATTTATATAAGATCAACGACTAAAAAACATCCTGATAGAACTCTTCTAAACTATAGTATGCCTTCAATTTTAGAACGGACTTTACACATTTTACAAAACTCTTGAGATCATGGAGACCCTTCCACTCATCCGGCAAATGATTGTATATCTTTAAACTTTCATACATTAAAGAGTTTTTGGTAAAACCACTCCTGGGTATTGGTAATGGTAAATTATGTCCATAACGTGTGTTGTGGATGTTGGGATTTATAAAATTTCTATATTTTTTGTGCACCAAGGAGACAGTCTCCAAAATAAAAATACATGGCAATGTAAGGATTTCTTCCTGAACAAACAATGGCCTACAATGGTCCCTAGCCTTCAATTTGCATAAGTACCTAAGCGCCCTCTTCTGTAGAACAAACACAGAATTAAAAAGTTGTTTGTTACAAAAATCCCAAAATGCAATCCCATATCTCAAATGAGACTCAACAAGTGAATAATATACCGACTTAGCCATGAGTGACCCCAGCTGCCCCGTGACAATACGGACAGCAAAGCATCCAGATGCCAATCTCTTGTTCAGACACAATATATGCTCTTTAAATTTTAAATTCGAGTCTATGTGCAAGCCCAAAAACCTGCAGCTAGCCTCATTTGCCACGAAATAATTGTCCACATTCAGATCATCCAAAACAAACCTAAAAGAAATAGCACTAGTGTTATTTAAATTGAAACAAAGTAAATTTGCGTCGCACCACTCCTTCACACGTCGCGTCGTAGGTCTTCAATTATAATATCTTTCAATAAACTAGCATCTTCATCAAGCCACAAGATGGTCGTATCATCTGCAAAAATGGTTAAACGGCCTCGAATATCTAGTCTAGCCAAGTCATTCAAGTACAATAGAAAAAGAACTGGTCCAAGAACAGAACCCTGGGGAACACCGTGTCTCATTGACAGTTCATCTGAGCTACCATACGCCACTCCCCTGAAACCATACTGATGCATTTTCTCCAGCAGTATTCTGTGATTTACGCAATCAAATGCTTTAGAAAAATCACAGAAAACCGCTGCAGCCATACGTCCTCCATTCAGACCGACGTTCACACTCTCTAAAAGCCTGAACACCGCATCACTAGTACCCTCAGAGGCTTGAAATCTAAACTGACAACTAGGCAGGATATTGTGACTAGACATGAAGGCTACCATTCTTTTCTTTACAAGCTTCTCAATGATTTTTGAAAGCGTAGGTAACAATGAGATTGGACGAAAATCAGCAGGGTTTTTCGGATCACCACCCTTAAAAAGCGGAACAACAACAGCGGTCTTGAGACTAGAAGGAAAAAAACCATCGTCAAAAGATTGATTTATTAACATTACCATAATCTCCAGAGCCTGTCTGGGCAAAGCCGCAAACACTCTGTTTGTAAAGTCATCTATGCCAGAGGAATTTTTACTTTTTATCTCTCCAAGGATACCACACATTTCATCAATATCAGTATGTATCAAATAAAAACTGTTCGGTACAGAAACCTCCTGCAGGTACAACATTGGATCAATTTGCGAATTTAAATTTGCTGTTAGTCCATCAGCAACGGAACAATAAAAATCGTTTAATGTGTTAGCGTCAACATCAACTTTAGTCTTTGATGTGCTTGATTTTCCCCGCAAACAGTTTACTATATTCCAATTCTCTTTAGTTTTATTTTGCGCCCTATCAATCCTATCCCTGTAATACCACTTCTTGGCTGTCTTAATAGTACTCCTATAAATATTTTTGTACCTATTAAAATAAGTCAAGAAAGCTTGGTTTAAAGTGAATTTTCTTATCCTATGCAGACATCTTAAATTTACTGAGGAGTTTCTTATTCGCGAGGTAATCCAGGGCTTTTTGTTTTTCTGCTTTAATTTACGGACAGGAAAATTTGCATTAAAAATTTCAACAACTATACTATTAAATTTATCTAATGAGTTATCCAACCTCAATAATCCCAGCCATTTATTTTCGCAGCCTGTTCCCTAAAATGTCCAAAGTTTTCAGTACTGTAAATTCTCCCATATCTAAAGGTTTTTAATTTTTTTTCCTGGTGTACATAAAAAGATGAAATTATAGCCTCATGGTCAGAGAGACCCGAGAAAATCACAATAGTTTCAGCCCCAAATATGTCAGAAAAATTTGAACAAAGATAATCAATAGTGGTACTGGAATATTTTGAGATACGGGTGGGCTGCTTAATGAGCATCTGCAAATTAAAAGAAATCAGCAAGTCCTTCAGATTCTGAGTGCACATTGACTCAGAATCCTCGTAATTAATATTCAAGTCACCGGCCACTAAAATTTTAGCATTTACTGGTAAGTCCGATAAAAGAATTTCCAGTCTGTCCATAAACTCTTTAATGGTTCCGCTTGGAGGTCTATATAAACACAGAATATACAAATTTATCTTAGTTAAATGAACTATTGAATTCGTATTCACTAATATTAACTACAGAATAAGACTCACACAACTCAGCAGTCAAAAGTATCATTGTTCCTCCATGTGCAGACTCTCCTCGACAAAAACTAGAGACTACCAAGTAATTGGGAATGTAGCATGGCTCGTCTGGTTTCAGCCAGTGCTCTGTCAATAATAAAATGCTCGGCATGTTTTGCGTTTCCAAAAAAATAGTTAACTCGTCCACCTTGTTTCGTACAGACTGAATATTCAATAATAACAGTGTTATATTTTTTTTTGTGTTTTCTTTGAGAAGGTTGTCTAAAAAAGAGTGAGAGGTTGAAGTTTCTATAATCTCGATTTCTCTCGGCGCATCACTCGTCAGAGAGGCAGCTGAGACACCTGAAGTCAACCTTCCCAAATCGCCTATTGATGTTTTTGAAAAATGCAATTGCCTTAAATTGCTCATTGGTGCCTTTGAGAAATATGTGATGATTGAGTTTTTTAATAAAGTAGACAATTTGTACAGTCCCGCTACATTCAAGTAACAACTATTATTAACAAAATGTTTAAACAAAAATCAAGCAAGTCAAGAAGATCGACAAAGAAAAATGTTTTAAATTATTAATTACAGCATTAAACCTAGTGTTAACATCCTCAATATAATTTAGTGATTTATTACCTCTACTATTTACAGGCAGGGTACATAAAATAAGATTTGTATAAAAGAATTTGTTAGTCAAGGAGGTAATATCATGTATGCTGATATTTTTATCATTCAAACCTGCCAAAACAATAACATAGTCCTCGTTTGTATAGTCCCTGATGTAACAATCCATGCTGGAAACAAACTTCCTTAAATCTTGCATAAGGTTTGCTAACAATTTGGACAACCAAGAGTATTCTGTAGAGTAGAGGCTCCAGAAGTCTTCTCCCACAGTCATCAGTCAGAACAAGAATTTTGATGAGTTTTTCAGGTTTTTCAGATTTTTTTGGTAGCCTTCCACTATTTTCCATCTTTCCACTTCCTTCTGTACTCAAATCCTTATTATTTTCTACCTGCTTCTGTTTCTCCATTTTCTTATTTTTGCTATCCTTGTGTAGATCTTCTTTCTTCTTTCCCAATTCATTCTTTAATTTTCTTTCATTTTCTGCATAAATTTTATTATCTGCCTCAAGTATTACTAGTGCGTCCTTCATCTGATTTTTGACCATTACAAGATCTGAGAAGTCTTCTTTTAGTTTTATAATAAATCTTTCATTGTCATTTATCTGATTAATAAGATTTTTGTTCTTTTCTTTTAATTCCTTAATAAGTGGTTTTAGGTTAATCTCTTCGTCCGTTTTTTTTTTTTTTGGTTTTATTTTTATTTTCAGTTGTTCAATTCCATGTTTAAGTTCATCAAGTTTTTTATCTTTTTCCGTAATCTTCATGTGCACTCGGACTACAGTGCGTTTCAAGTTTCGTAGTTTTGTTTATGTTAAGAGCAGAAGGTAGAGAGATAAGCTCATTAGCAAAAAATAGGTACCTGGAGATAGTCTATTGTTATTATTGTTATTTTATTTTAATGGTATAGAATTTTTTAATTGTTTTTCGAATTTACCAGGAAATGATTTGATTTCCACTCATGAAACACTCACAAATAAAAAGTTTACACTCTCACAAACACAATGATACCCAATTTACCAAAAAATGTGAACTTTAAACTTGTCAAATTCAAGATTTAGAGGAGCCCATGTTTGACTCTGCACACTGTGATACATCTGATCTACGGCAATTGCAAAATTTTATTTTAAAACAATGCTACCACGCCTGATTTTAATAAATTAATCCGATTAAATTAAAAGCTCTTTGATAAAGCTTTATGATAAAGATTTCTTCAGGATTTTCCATGGTTGAGAAGAATCCTCGTCAACATAAATTCCTAAAACTCAGAGCTTTTAACAGAACACACGACACCCTTATTCAATTTGCCAAATTTTGTCACTTGCTTCTTCAATTCAAAGTCAACAGATCTTTAGTAAATAAAGACCGATACAATCTTATTATCAAAGCATACTAATCCAATAATAAATTCTTTATACTAAAACCTCGACTAAAACAGACTACAAATAACATTCACCTTTCAATCAAATTAATAAACACTATAGCTCTGTTCCAACCTTTATGAGAACCTTTCCAGAACCAGTAAATTTCAGTTGCCCACCTATTTTTCAATGAGTTGAGAGTTTATCCTACTTGACAAATGAATTGATCGACTGGAAATTACCGTTCTAGAACGGTTCTCATGTCGGTTGGAACAGAGCTTATAGTGAAGTGTAATTGCGAAACAAAAAAAAAAAAAAACATTCATAAAAATCCATGTGAGGAAACTTACATGGATATATAATTATAAAACAAACATGGTATAATAAATAATACCAAACACTAGCTAAAAAACTCATTGATCGTCGAGCCTTAAAAAAAAAGATGCCCAAGGCGCTTTTTGACCAGGTTCAGGCAAAATGTATGTGATTTAATCATTGTTGTTGATCACATCAACCTGTTTTATGTGGTTTTTGTGGATTTTACTTTGTAAAAATTCGGTTTGCATTATTTTTGTTTTTCCGATGGAGCTTTATTGTTTTTAACTCCGCCTGTTGTAATAATTCAATTATCGCAATAAAGACATTTTCCATTATTATAGGTGCTGAACTAATGAGACCATACCTCCATGAATTTTTAACGAGCTCTTATGATGATTATGATATAGTGATTTGGTCAGCCACAAGTATGAAATGGATAATAGAAAAAATGAAGCTCTTAGGCGTTGACAAACATCCTAGCTATAAAATTGCTTTCTATTTGGATTCTCTAGCAATGATCTCTGTGCACACGCCCAAAAACGGTGTTATTGATGTAAGAACTGTGCAGTCTCTCATAATTTTATTTTACTTATTTATTTTTATTTTAGGTAAAACCATTAGGGGTTATATGGGGTAAATTTGAACAATTCAGCCCCAAAAACACTATAATGTTTGATGATATCAGACGAAATTTCATTATGAATCCCAAAAATGGTTTGAGAATAAAATCCTTTAGAGAAGCGCACATAAATAGGTAAAATCCCATAAAAATGTAAGCTTTTATTATAAAAAATATTTGTTGTTAGGTATAAAGATGATGAGCTCCTCAGACTTTCAAGATACCTAAAAAAACTGGCAGAACATTGTACTGATTTTACAACAGTCAATCATCGGAATTGGGAAAAATACAAACCTAAAAAATGAATATGTAATTCTAAGGTTGGCGTTTCCTTAAGTGTTCATTAAAACCAAAGATCACAACTTCTTTGGACAACACAACCACAAGTGATAATTTAACGAAATGGATTACCTGGCCAGATTTAAAGTAAACACTTGAGCACTATTTGCACAAATTGAGTTTGCAGAGAAATTAAAATTGGGCAAAACTGATAGGATTATTTTTGAATTCGGCATGTCGAGTAACTCCTGGGTTTAATTTTCACCTGTGGTTTTGGAGATAATCACTCATTTTCAATAGCAATTTATGCATTATTATACTTTATACAAGACTTTATATTATGCCTGAAAATCATTTTACATGGTTCTCACGTTTTCAAGTGAGTTAAAGTTGCCTGTCTGGGCTTGCTTGCGAACCTTTCTGGTGTGTTTCCATGGAATTTATGAGCTGCTGACAAATTACCTGTTGGCCGGGCTAACTTATTTAGAATGAGTACCCTGTTCAGATACCATTCTCAGTGTTAGTAAAAAGCGCTAAAAACACATTGTTTTTAGTGTTTCCTACAAAATCTTTCCTAAATTATGACTTAAACGAGTATCAAATCTTGTCATACAATTTGTATGCTTGAAGAGTTGTTCAAACAAGCTGTGATCTTTTTAAAAAAAAATTAAGCTGCAAAGATGGAAGGGGTAGACATCTCAATCAGACACTACTCTCGGGTAGTTAAATTCAAAGTTTGCCCATTTAGTAAAATCAAATCAAATCTCTCAAGATATCTAGAGTGCGTACTTTTTTATGTTTTGGGTTTCCTAAGAAGAGTCTTATATGTACAGGGTGGCCCATTTTCGATGTTTTAATAGGCTATATCTAAAACCAGCAGAGATATCAAAAATCTGGGATCACATTCTCGAGCTCTTTTTTTGAGAAAATAACAATGGCGAAGACAGATCACGGCTAACTTGATGCGTTTAGGAAATACAGGGCACTTTTCAAATTTTGTCCAATTTTAAAAGTCTCTCTAATTTCCTTATTATTCAAGATATCCAAAAACGAAAAATACTTTCTATAGGCAGTTTTTCAAGGAGAATACAGTGGCATGACCAATTTTTCTCCAAATACCTCCGATTTTGGAATATTGACCAAAGCTGTGTTTTTTTAAATGGGACACCCCACATATTATTTTTTTATTGAATAGCTTTATGTGAGCTGATTTGAATGATATAAGGTTTTATACCTTTACCTTCTATAGTTTTGGAGAAAAAAAAATTAATTCCGTTTTTTCCATAAGAAACCATGATTTAGAAAGAGATAGTTGAACTATGAATTGGCTACAAATTTCTTAATTCTTAATTTAATTTTTCAGTTCAGCAAATTTTTTTTTTAATTTGAACTAAGAATCGGGGGTGATAAATAGGCAACACATAATTTATTTAATGACTTCTCTCTCTCTAGCTCATTGTTTCTTATGGAAAAAACGGAATTTATTTTTTTTTCTCCAAAACTATCGAAGGTAAAGGTATAAAACCTTATATCATTGAAATCAGCTCACAAAGAGCTATTCAATAAAAAAATAATATACGGGGTGTCCCATTTAAAAAAAAACACAACTTTTGTCAATATTCCAAAATCGGAGGCATCTGGAGAAAAATTGGTCATGCCACTGGATTCTCCTTGAAAAACTGCCTGAAAGTATTTTTCGTTTTTGGATATCTTGAATAATAAGGAAATTAGTCTTTTGAAATTGGACAAAATTTGAAAAGTGCCCTGTATTTCCTAAACACATCAAGTTAGCCGTGATTTGTCTTCGCCATTGTTATTTTCTCAAAAAAACAGCTCGAGAATGTGCTCCCAGATTTTTGATATCTCTGCTGGTTTTCGATATAGCCTATTAAGACATCGAAAATGGGCCACCCTGTACAGGGTATCTGGTTATAATTTGACACCCCACTGACAGTCATCACCTTTACAAGTAGATGATAGGTGTAAATACAAAAGTTTTATCTAAATTTTTGGAATCTATCGTCAGAAACTAAAAATTATCAGAAATTTGAAGTTTTGTGTATTTTCAACCTTTTTCAGATGGAATGCCCTGTACAGGGCTATTGGTAATTCGATACACTCCTTTGGAGATGTGATAGGGGATGAGGTAAGGATTAAATTTAACTGTTGCATACTTTATGCCAAACTCAATGGTTTTTGAGATATTCTAATGTTTCTGTTTTTCTGAAGAACAGATCTAATTGCCTTGAAAATTAATTAGCAAAAAATCTACCATATATTTTTTCAACTTTTCTACTGGCCCAACACTTTGGACTTATGATTGTAATAAAAAAATATCCGGAAACATTTCTGTCATAGGAAAATTTATAAACAACCGATAAGAAATTTTGACCGCTGTAAAAATTATTTTTCAAGAGATTTTGTTTAAAATTTTCCCATGATAGAAATTTTTCCGGATATTTTTTATTACAAACATAAGAACATGTTACCATAGTGTTGGGCAAGTACCTAATCCAGAAGAAAGGTTGGAAAAATATACGGTAGATTTTTTGCTAATTAATTTTTAAGTCAATTTGGTCTATGTTTTCAAGAAAAACGGAAACATTGAAATATCTCGAAAACTATTGAGTTTTGTATAAAACATGTTACAGTTAGATTTACTCCTTACCTTACCCCCTATCACATCTCCAAAGGAATGTATTGAATTACCAATAACCCTGTATTTGGTTCGAAATCCATGAAGAGCACAAGGATCTCTATATATTTTTGTTACAGGAAAATTGTGCTCTTCAAGAATATAGAATCAAATATAGGGCATCCCATTCGTAAAAATTAAAAAGTATGCAAAATTTTACGTTTCTGGCATTCAATATTTGTTTCTGACCATGGATTCTCTAAATTCAGCCAAAACTCAACAACTGTAAAGGTAAAGGCTGCAAGTGGGGTGTCAACTTTTTTTGGCAAATGGATGGTTTTTTATTTGATTTGATTTTATTAAAATCTGTCACAAATTAAATTAAACGCTTTAAAGAAATTGTGCATGTAGTAATTTATTGTGGGTCAGGAAAATGATGTTTTTTTTTTGCTTGCTTAACATATTTTTATTAAGTTTTTGAGGGTATTGTACCTAGTTCAATCAATGTCGTGCTGACCCACAAAAATTAAATTAAGTACCAATAACTGAAATTATAAACATTCATTTATTTTATATTATATACATGTCGCTTTATACTAAGTTTTATATTATGTAAATTACTACACTTTATTATTTGGAGTTTTCCATTTACAGAAAGCAATAAATAATTTGTTAAATTCATTGTTTATACTAAATCCCACATCCCCTTAATCCGTTTAATTATAATGTTAGTTATACCGATTCTATAATTCGCATTTGAACTTTACAAAAATAATTAATTTTCATTAGGGAGTATGAAAATTGATACATTAGGTATTTTCGGGTTTGGTAAAAGGACGGTTCTAGAACGGTTCAAAACAATCGCACATTTTATCAACAAAAGGACAACGGCTATCAGAAATTCCAATAATAAACTGTACGATTGTTTTCCGTTCTAGAACCATCCTTTTTTCGAACCCGAAAAAAGCTATTGTTTCCATTTTTCTTGGCGTTGCCTAAAAATAAAATTAAGTGCAAAGAGTCACTATATTATTTCCAAAATTGTCCTTTGTCTCTGTACTTTGTTAGGAAATTTTTTATTATCCTTCCTCGCCAATTGAGTAGGATTAGAATGACGATAGTGTGAAGGAAGTGTTCTCTTGATATTTCAATTAAAAAAAAAAGCCAAAAGGAAGCACATTTAGACCATTTTGTGGTTTTAAATGCAAATTTTGAACCAAAAATACGTTCGCAACAGGATCTGTATGACTATTAGTTTCAATGTTTGCTGTTTTTTTGTTAACACACGCTTTAAGACTACTTTGGATACAGATTTGAATTGATAAGAAGTAAAAAATCGCGAAAAATGACATTGAAATGCAATTTTACACCCATCTAAGATAGTTTTTTTTTGATATCTCAATGGAATAGAAAAAGTCAAAACGAATCACGTTTAGACCAACAATGAATTATTTTGTAATTTTAAATGCAATTTTAGACCAAAAATACGTTTTCGAAAGGATCTGGGCTGGTATTCTGGCCCTCAAAAACGCTCACCGCTTTTCAGTCGCTCGGAACTTTTAATGTAAATTTACATTAAAACTGCCGAGCGACTAAAAAGCGGTGAGCGTTTTCGGGCACGAAAATTCAGGCCCTCTGGATGTCTATTTATCTCCAATTTGCGTGTTTTTTTTTTGTTAGACACATGTTGAGACTACTTTGGATAGATTTTTATTAAGAAGAAGTGAAAAATCTAGGAAAATGTCGTTGAAATGCAATTATACACCCATTTAAGAGAGTTTCTCTTGATATTTCGATAAAAAAAGTTATGAGGAAGCACATTTAGAACAAATTCACACCATTTTGTTGTTTTTAAATGAAATGTGAAACCAAAAATGCGTCTATTATGAAAAGATCTGTATGACTATTCTATTAGCTCCAGTTTAGGCTGTTTTTTGTTGAACGCACAGTTTAAGACTTTTTTGCATGAAGCTTTTATTTGAAAAATGTCAAAAGTCGCGGAAAAAGGAAATTCAAATGCAATTTTACACCCATTAGGTACAGTTTCTCTTGGTATTTCAATAAGAAAAAGCCAAAAGGAAGCACATTTAGAACAGATTTAAACCATTTTGTGGTTTTAAATGCAATTTTGAACTAAAAATATGTTTGCAAAAGGATCTGTATAACTTTTAGTTACAATTTATGCTAACACACACCTTAAGACTACTTTGGGTATATATTTTGACTGGAAAGAAGTAAAAAAATCGCGGAAAATTTTGAAAGTTGAAATGCAATACACCCATTAAGGAGAGTTTCTCTTGATTTTCAATTTAAAAAAAAAGTCATAAGCACGCACATTTAGAACAAACTATGATAAAATTATCAGCTCTTAGGCTTCTTCATCAAACTACTGATGAGACCTAGAAAGGTCGGAAGCAATAATAGGATCAGTTACAACATCCAAAAAGCGATGTTGACAGTTTACCTACAACAAAGACTTCAGCAATGGAAAATTTGACAAAGCCACAGAAAATTCGCGTTTCTGGTCGTCATCTCCAAATTCGCTGTTTTCACCGTAAAGCAAAAGTATTCTTGCTGTTTCAAAAACCACAACCAACTTCACGTTATTCCCAGTAAACATGGCTATATGACTACTTTTACCTGAATATATAATTTATAAGTTTTTTTCTAATCAAAACGGTAAAATTTAACTTAATTGTAACGCATAATGTCATGCTCAAATAGATGTAAAATTTATATTTATTACCTATCATTTTTGGCGCTGAAAATTGTTGATTATCCGATATTGCCTCACAAAATCGCTCATTACTCAATTAATATTTTACAAATTCGAATGCATATTTATATTCCGGATCAGAATTAAATGCTCTTTAAGATAAAACAAGATTTAAATTTATAGCTCAAATAGTTTTTGAGGTATTGAGGTTCAAAGTTGAAACTTTGTCTCAAATTTGGGAAAAGCTTAAAAGCCGTTTTTCTCAAAAACGAAGCCCTTGGGCTCGGAGTCTTAAAATTACTTTTTTTGAAGCTCTAATTGAGAGCTACAAGCAAGACAAATTTCGTGCCGATAGCTTCTGGTGTTTCCGAAATATGGTCCTTTGAAATATTTGAAATTCGAATTCCCATGCATACCATTTTGGAAAAATTCCAAGTTTTAAATTTTTGGTTTTTCAAATTTTTGACTTCACCAATTTTTAAATTTTTGGTTTTACAGATTTTTGTTTTTACCAATCGAAAGAGGAAGACAAAATTAGTGGAAAAGCGTTTTTGCAATTTGTTTTTTCGAAGTTTTAGGGCTTGTGAAAAATTAAAAATTGATTGCGCATTTTTGGTCTCAAAAGGTTTTGATTTTTTGACATTGCCTCACAAAATCGCCCATAACTTTGTGAATATGTCACAAATTCCAATAAAAAATTATATTTTTGTAATCAGAATTAAATGCGCTTTGAGATAGAAGAAGATTAAAATTTATAGCTCAAATATTTTTTGAGGTATTGAGACTAAAAATTGAAACTTTGTCTCACATTTTAAAAAAGCTTGAAAGCCGTTTTTCTCAAAAACGAAGCCCTTAGGCTCGGAGTCTTAAATGACCTTTTTTGCTTATAGAAAGTTATCGATTTGCTTACAGATGGGCACAGAATTGACCTATTAGCTTACTGAAACTAATGCTACCTATTAAAAAAATTATCTCAAATTTTATGTAGATGTAACAGACCTGTTTACTGGGTTTCGACTTATATGTTTGTCATCATCAGTCAGTAGATTTTACTTCTGAGAAGTTGAGACCACATAAAAGTTCAAAAAAAGAATAAGCATCAAAGCTCAAATTCGAGCCGATGTCTAGAAGAGAAAAGAATTTTTCAAAAAAAAATGTCTATGAAAGGATCTGAATGATAGCTCCAATTTAGGTTGTTTTTTTGTTAAAGCGTCTCTTTAACTTTCTAACTGCAACTTTACACCCATTTACGACAGTTTCTTCTCCTAATAATTTAATAGAAAAAGCCAAAAGTATCAAGGAGTCTTGAAGGCATCTTGAAAACCTAGTACCTACGTTACCTACATAACCCAACATCTTCCAGACGTCTACCTCTAAACACGTCTTCAGGACATTAGAAGAGACAGGAGTAAAAATTAAAAAACAAATCAAGAGCCTATTTTGAAATACGAAAATAATGAGAATTCAATTCAAGAATTTGAATTGAAAAAGAAAAATGTTCTTGCTAATATTTCCTTATTGTTACCTAGGTACTCATTTTATACCTGTCAATTTTTGTCTATTTCAGGCTAGGCACTCTGAAATAATTCTGAGGTTTTCAAATTGCTCTGAAGCCTTTCAAAATGCCGCTGAAAAGTGTTTTCGAACATTCTAAATGGCTTATCGAAGTTCTAAAGTGTTCTAACTTGGCTTGAAGAGTTCTGGAGCATTTCAGAAGTGTTTTAGTAATTTCTAAGCTCTGACAGATTTTTAAGTAGGTATTCATTTTAGAGCCCTATTGAAGCTCTAAAGTGTTCTAAATTGCCAAATTGGTTTAAAAGAATTCTAAAAGAAAAGGTTTTCAGTTCTATATTGAATCCTAATTGTTCCGAAATAACTCTGAAGTTTTTAAATTGTTCCAAAATGCTCCGTAAAATTATTCTGTTTTGGATGCTTATTAAAAGCTTAAAGTTCTACAGCAATTTAAATTCGCTCTTGAACGACTTCTGACAGGGGTTTTGTAACTTTCAACCTAAATTCTAATCCTGACGCTTTTCAAAATGTTTCTGGAGATTCTAGGGTGTTTAATTGAGTGTTTTGGAGCGTCCTAAAATGAGCTTCAAACTTCTGAATTGTTCTAAAATACTTTTGGAAATTGTAAATCGCGAGGTAAATCGTTTTTTGAATGTTTTGGGACATTCTAAAATGGTTCTGAAAGAAAGAGGCACAATTAACATTGAAAATAGGTCCCCGTAAATTTTAACCAAATTTCAATATTTTAAAGGTAATATCCATTGCCAAAAAAAAATTTGAAATATAAAGAGGATCGTATGTCTGTGATAGCAGATAAAGCTGGTCAAAGTACGTATGTCCTGCTATGCTATGCATAGGAAATATCCGAGGAAATATCCCTACGTAGATTTTCTTGATATCTCGAAAAATACTAATCCGATTTTGACGTTTTTGGTGCGCTTTTTTAGGTAATGGAACCCCCAAAAAACGTCAAAATAGGATAAGTATTTTTCGAGACCTTCAGAACAATCCACGTAGGGATATTTCCTATGGATAGCATAGCACGACCTACGTACTTTAACAAGCTATATCTGTTAGCACAGACATACGATCCTCTTTACATTTCAATTTTTTATTTGCAATGATGATACCTAAAATATTGAACTTTGGTTGAAATTTACGGAGGCCTATTTTCAATGTTAATCGTGCCTCTTTCTTTCCAAAATATTCTGAAGCACTACAGAATGCTTTTGGAAATTCTGAATTGAATTTTCAGCGTTCTGAACTTTCCAAAAGGCTTATTAAAATTCTTGAGTGTTCTGTAACATTTTAAAGGATTTCCAGTAATTTCTAAATTGAATGTGAAACGAATTCTGTGGGAAGTTTTTGTAGACATCTTAAAAACATCTCTAAGATGTCCACAAACGACATTCAAGACGTTTTTAAGGCGTCTGTTTACGTGTTCAAGGCATCT